CCCCCCAAAAAAATCTGGGTTCCTTTATGTTACCACAATAAACAATACAGCTACCCCCGTTAGATCCACAGTTAGTTACCTGGATCGTATTTAGCCCACTGGTGTGGGTGATTGAGTTAACGAGGTACCAACCAAGTTGCCCTGGGATTGTGGGTACCGGGTGGAGGGCACGGGAGGTTAAGCCTTGTTTCCAGGGAGCCTCAAAATGTGGAGGGGCTTCCTGAGATTATTGGCCAATTGCTGCTTTGTCCCCAGGGTCACTTGGGACAAAACCCAGTTTGGATGGGTTGTGCCCCTCCTCCTGTAGGGCCATTGACACAACAGGTCTAACACATACCTGTTGTGGGCAGAGAGCAGCAAAATATCCAAGACCTCACATTGCCATCTTTGCAGCTCATTCCTTCAAATGCTAGTTTATTTTTCTGTTTCTTCAATCTAGACTGGTCTGTGACTTGCTTTGGCCAAGAGAAAGCCAAAGGAGGGATCCTGTGCCAGCTCTAAGCCTGGCAGCTAGCAGGCCTTCCTGTGAACAGGCACAAGTTTACTACCTGGAAGAGTTGTTCCTGTCACCCTCACTGATGGCTAGCCAACTGCCAGAAGCACAGCCTGATGGGCTGACACACAGCAGCATGCACAGGGCGGGAAACCCAGCTGAGAACAGCACAGGCCTGCTGAGCCTTGCCTACACTGCCTGCCTGTAGATGAAGGGCCAGCTTTCACCTCATGTACTGGGTTGGGTCTCAGCTCTGCAGATGGTGTCAATAGATGGTGGACACAGTCTTTCCTCTTCTTTCCCCGTTTACCAAGCATATGTACAGACATGAAGTAACTCCCTAAACGCCAGCTTTGTGGGAGATCCTATCTGCCTTTTACAAGACAAAGGTGAGATTCTGACAGGCTCTGATTAGCCAGCTCCCAGGGCTTCCATTCCCAGGTCCCAAGTCTCCTGCACAACCTCTATTCATCTTATAGTCCTTGCCTTCCTTCCTCAGTTTTGGAAATCTTGGGCATCGCATCATCTTGTTCACCCAAACATCAGACAGGACCATAACCATCAGCCCTTCCTACCCCTACATGCTATGATTAGGTCTTGCTGATATGGTTCAGGAAGAGGGTCAGAGAAGTGCCTTGCCCTTGGGCTCCACCTTATGGGTAAGTATGGGCCTCTTCCTGTCCAGTGCACAGCTTGGTCACAAGTTCCACTTACACCCTGGCCAAGGCCTGATGTCAGGCTTAGTTGACAGCATCACTTAGTGAGATCATGGAAGACTTACAGAGGCCCAGAGCAGCGCCAACTGGAGTGAACCAGCCCCTTACTTGGCACACAGGTGCCTTATGAGGCCCCTGGGCTGTGGACTTAAAGGAGCTAGGCATACTCAAGGGTTCATAGGCTCCAAGGGGCTCCATCGCCACCACTGGCTTCCCCTATAGGATGCAGTGCCATTGCCATTGCTTACCGATAACGTGGGGGTGCCCTCATCCTCCACGGTGACCACCAGATGGTAGAAGCTCTGGCGTTCTCGGTCAGGTGGGGCAGGTCGTGTGGCAATCTCGCCACTGATGCGATCCATACGGAAGGTCCTGTCCTCATTACCCTCGGTGATATAATAGGACAGGACACTGTTGATCCCGATGTCACGGTCGGTGGCTCTCACTTGGACCACAGCAGTGCCCCCGCCCACATTCTGGGAGAAGAGGAGCAAATTGTTATTCTAGGTTCAAGGCCTTCAGGGAAAAGTCTAGTTCTGTTGCAGGAAGCTTTGCTTGGGCTCCCTGGAAGCTCATCATCTTCATGTACTCTGAGGCGAGGATGAGGGTGGGGATGACCAGGATGCAAGCCATGACAGGTCCTGTGTTAACCCACTGCAACTGTTCCAACCCTGCACATTCAGATTGGATATTCAAACTCACAGATGGGAAACTCAAGGTGTGGGGAAGAATCACAAGCACATCCACATAATCAATCAGAGACCATTGTGGGCATCTGCTCTGAGAGCTGGGCTCTACTCTATGCCACTTTCTGTCATGAGCATCCCACCTGGCATAATGCCTAGCAAGGCCCAGAGAAAGTTTTGGAGTTGCCCAGCCCTAGCACCAAGTAATGAATATAGTTTGACAGCTTTCTGCAAGGCGAAAGGTCTTGTATTCTCTCCTACCATAAAAAGATATTGAGTTCTGACTTCCAGGGTGGGCATTGGGGGGTGTAACTATGCACAATCTCTATTCTGAAATCTGAGGGGCCAATGGGTCAGGCAGTCATGTAAATGGGTGTCTCATGGTCAGCTCCTGTCCATAGTCCACCCTGGGTGGCCAGCCGCAGGAGACCTGGAGCATCCTTACCTCATTCACACTGACGTTGTACCCAAAAGGGCTCTCGATCACTGGGTGGTTGTCATTGACGTCCAAGATGGTCACTTGCAGGATGTGGTCTTTCTTCTGTGGAGGGGTGCCATGGTCGGAAGCCACAACCTGTGAGGAGGAGGCCTGCAATCAGGGCTGAAGGGTTGTGGATCAGGACCATGGAGTCCAAAGGAGTCTCCTTATATAGGGAGGCCCTGGGAGTCGGGAGAGACTCACCAATTCATCTTGGTCCTAACACAAAGCTCTTCCCTTCTGCCTGTGCTACAGGTAATCCTTGCCCAAGTATTGTTGGACTCCTTTGGTATCTGACTTCAGTGTGCCCAAGTGGCCACCACTTGGCCCCCCTCCACTCCTGCCTCTGTTTTGTTCTATGTCAACCCCAACCCTGATCTTGGGTCTGAGCTATGACTCAAGCCTTTGACTTTGCTTCTGCCCCATGCCTTTTGTGCTGGTCTCTGGCAAGCAGGGAAGGGGCCTGGAATATTCTTTGCAATACTCTAGGGTCCTGACCACATGCTGAGCCTGTCTGGGGCGGGGTGTTCAGTACTGTCATGGTGGCCTCTAGGAGCTCAGCCCCTGCAGAAGAGCAGTCTCGGCTGCCTAGAGGCTCTGGTGCACAGGCTAGCCCCAGCAATCCAGCATCCACCATGGCAAGTGTGTCCCTTCACTCTGCAGCAGAAGCAGGCTGGGTGGGGTTCTTTGCCCATTGCATATGTGGAGAAACTGAGGCCCAGATAGAAGTAATAACTTACCCAAGATTCTTCTGTATTCATGGCAGGGTGAGGACCCTATTACCATCTCTGCCAGGTTCTCTCCTGACTGCTTTTGTTTTATTTTATTTTATTTTTTTACTCAGGGTCTCATATAACCCAGGGTAGTCTGGAATTCACAATATAGTTGAGGATGACATTGAACTCCCTATCTTCCTGTCTCTACTACCTCTTGAGTGCTGGGATCACAGGCATACACCACTATGCCCATCTCTCCTGACTCCTAATGCAGAGAGTGATATCTCAGCTGCTCCTGCTGGGAACTGGAAGCCAGTCCCAGGTTGCTGTGCTTGGCCCTACAGATGCCACCTGTCCCATATCATTTGGTAATGGCAGAGAAGCTGACTGCCAGGGCATGCTGAGGGTGGGTTCCCTCCTTAGTGGTCTGCTGTGAGCCATCTAAGCTGGGCCAGTGACTGCTTACCTGGAGGATATAGTGGTCCAACTCCTCCCTGTCCAGGGGCCTAGCCACAAACACTTCACCGATGGAGTCATTGCTGGTGATGATCTCGAATGCCCCACCAATGTTACCAGAGGCCAGGGAGAAGACCACCTATGGGAGGAAAGCAAGGGCAAGGAGAAGAGAGGAGAAAGGGAGGAAGAGGAGACAGGGAGGACAGGTGGCTGAGTCAGGCCCAAGGCACTACCTAGTTTCCAGGTCCACTGTGCCCTGTTTGGCTGGAGCACTGGAGGAAAGGGATGAGACTGAGGAACAGCGACAAGCTCACCAAGGTCATGTGTGTCTGGCAGGTGCCTGGTCCTAGGGATGTCAGCAGAGTAGCCTAGGGACCTGGAGAGTGGGCCTGAGTCCCACCACGTGGTCTCCACTTCTGCTAGTGATAGGTCAGATGACCCCTGAGGGGTGGAGAGCACCCCTACGACTATGGCTGACTCCAGCTTGGTACCCACCTGCCCACTGCTGCCAGCATCAGGGTCCCGGGCCTTGACGATGGCCACTCGCTGGCCCACAGGGCAGTCCTCAGGCACACTGATGGCCGAGTCAGAGGTGAAGTCAAACTGTGGGCTATTGTCATTCTCATCCAGCACGGTGATGTAGACCTGGAGGCAGACATGCTCAGTGGCCTCCCACCTTCCCCGAGATGGTCTCAGACCATGGGGGCAGAGACCCACCAAGAGTTAGCAGGGACTATCAACAAGCTTTCAAGCCTCTCTCCCACCAATGCCTATCCTGGATGTTTGATTCTCTTAGCAATGTGTCTGTGTCCGTGTGTGTGTCCGTGTGTGTGTCTGTGTGTGTGTGTGTGTAGGGGAGGTGCACACTTATCACTAGGCCAGAACAGCAAAGGAAGGGGGTGGTGGGGACTGAGGCTGTGGGGATGAGGACAGCTGGAAAGCTGGGCTCCAGCTGATGAGAATGAAGGCTGGGAATACCCCCAGGCATCACTTCCTGTTTTTCAAGAGAATTAAGAAGTCCAGATTTTTATGTGAAATGAGCTGATGAGTCACAGAAATGAAAATCATGGGCAGGCCAGTTGAAACATGGCTGCTAGCCAGACCCTGGCCTTGTTACCCTCAGCTCTGCATTAAAGGGAAGGGATGGGGCCCAGGAGCAGGGGGCCATGCCTGAGGCCTAGGGGTCCTAGTGTAGAGGGAAGTGCCATGCAAACTGCATGCAAAACACATGCAAATTGCACATTCTTTCCCATTCACAGTCTGGGTCTCTGGTGGAGAGGAGAGTCTTGAGCAAGAAGAGAGAATGACCATCAGCCTGGGGAAGACTCTAGGCTACAAGGCTGTAACTACAGGGTTGCTCACTGATGGGAAATGGGGTTGGGAGGTGGCCTGGTTTTCAGGAATTGTAGGTCCCACCTCTTTGTGCTGCCCTTCCTAGGCCAGTCCCCATCATCCTCTTTGGGGGCCACACCCCGATGCTATCTGGCAGCTGTTAGAGCCCAGTGGGGCCCGGACCAACTCCTCCGCTTGTGGTAGTGTGAATTTGGAAATAGTTACAGAGCCTCTCTGGTTTTCCATTTTCTCAGTTGAAAATTAAAACAAGAATACCTACCCTACTGGCTATAGGAACAGGAAATGACTGAATGCAGGTAAGGGAGGTATATAATTATTCCAGTCCCTCCTACCTGCTTGGCAGACACTCAGCCTTCCCCCAAGCCTGTGTCCATCAGGAAGTCTGCTCAGGGGCTGGAGGGATGGCTCAGAGGTTAAGAGCACTGACTGCTCTGGCAGAGGACCTGGGTTCAGTTCCCAGCATCCACGTGGCAGCTAACAACCATCCATAATTCCAGGGGATCTGATGCCCTTTTCTGGCCTCTGCAGGCATTGAGTGCACATGGTGCACTTACAGACATGTAGGCAAAACACTCATACACATAAATTAAACAACAACAACAAAGTCTGTTCATCAAGCAGTTCCTCAAGTTCCTGCTGATATGGAAATGGGAGTAAGATGCCCAGTACCTTGCTGTCAGGGCAAAACCCAGCAGAGAACCACACTGTGATCTGACCTTCCTAACTCTCCAATCAAAGCCTTGCTTAATCTTGCTGGCTTCCTCATACCACAGGGCTTTTGCACATATTGTTCCTGCCACCTAAACAGCTTTTCCTCATTGGCTGCCTTACTTAACTCCTACAGAGCTCAGTGTGAGCCACCTCCTGGGGCAAGTTCACCTGGATTTCCTGACATTTTAAAAGATCTACATGATATTGCAATGACGCTATGACCAGGGGCTTTCCTTCTCCCTGATTCATGCTGTGCAGGCCTGGTTGCTGTGAGCCCCAGGCCTGGCACATAGTCTGTCAATGGACCTACCATGGTTGCTGTTATGATCAAGGCAGTGGCTGTGAGGGTGGGTGGGGGATGGGAAGGGACCCACCCTTGGTAGGTGAGGTGAACTGAGGCTGTCTCCCATTCTCAGCCTCAGAACCTCTCTTCCTGCCCATCCCCCAAGGGCTCCTATAGCAGAGTCCTCCTTCTGGTCCTCCCACTCCCGCCTCTGCTAGGGACAGGGAGGAGTCAGGTAGAGGTGAGCTGTGGTTTGGCTCCTAGCCTCAGGGAGGAAACTGCCACCTTAAAAGGCCTCCCTCTGTGCCTCCACCCTAGTAACTCAAACAGTATAGGGCAATGGCTCAGAGCCTTGGAGGAAGCTACAGGAAACAGGGGAGTGGGCCCTGCTTCTTGGAGGAGGGTAGGAGGCTGAACAGGAGCAAGTACTCAAAGCCCGACAGCCCTGCCTGCAGGGCACCAGAGTGGCCTCACTTCTCAGGGGACCCCTGCTGCCTTAGTCACCTGTATGCTCACAACTATCAAGGGCTGAGAGGCAGCTGGGTCCATGGTAAGATGGTAAGATGGTAAGATGGAGATGCTGAGGTTTAGACAGAGGCCCCACCTATGCCCACCAAGTCCCAGGCCCTCCTGCTGAGAGCTACTGTAATACCCCCAGTGCCTCCATTTTGTGCAAGTTTCACTGGTCAATCATGTGGTCATAGGACCACCCCTAGGAAGGCAGGTCATGCTAAATATAGCAGGTAGGCCTTTATCATGCTAAATAGATGGGCGGAACACCTAGTGCGTTAATGAGATGCGAGTTTTCCCTGCCTGGAATCCCACCTCCTAGGGCAGAGCTTCCTAGCTACAGCTATGTAGTCTGTGAGTTGCCCACTGCTCTGAGTTCTTCAGGGAAGCATAGTTTCCCTTTTTCTTCTTCATGCCTTTCTTACTAAACATGCTTTCTTTAAGGCTTTGGGCTGCCCTCAGACTCCTGTATTTCTTTACTTTCTCTAAAGCTTCCTTCTCCCAGCCATGTGGCTGCCAGTCAGCCCCATGTCTGACCTCTGTGCAGTCCCTAACCTGCCTGCCTTCATGGCTTTCTTTCCTTCCTCCTACCATTCACCTCCTCAAGGCAGCTGCCAAGATGACCAGCTCACCTGCCTTGAGAATTTCTTTTTCTTTAAAATAATAATAAAATTGTAAAAGCTTAATTCGGCTGATTTGGAGCTTTTTGAGTCTGGTGGTCCCGAACTCTGTAACACTAGGTGTAACATGAGATGCCTGATTGATGCCCACCAGCTACCCTCTGGGACCCTGGGGTTGAGGAGAGCTAAATGTGTGTGTGTGTGTGTCAAAACCCCACTCCCTCCTGAGCACCCCCTTCATGCCCAGTCCCTTCTGAAGCCTTGTCTGACACCTCTGATTTCAGTGATCACCCTCCCCAGGGACTTTAATGCACAGTCCCCAGAGGGCAGCTCACCCATGACCACAGCTACCATCCCAGGAACTCCCTGTGCCCTGCCCTGTGCTCTCCTTTATATGCCTCCCTCCCAAGACTGCCACCCCCTCTGAGCAGGACAGGGCCATTGGCAGGACCCTCCCTTGAGGGAGGGAGCACAGACAGGTTTAGTAGCTTGCCTTTGTCACACAGTCCTGGAGGAGGCTTCAGTATTTCTTCCTTTGTATGTTCCAAGTCCTTTGCTTACCTACTTCCATTCCAGGTCTCCCTGGGAACCAGGCAGAGCATGCAGGGCCAAGCTTGGGGCTGGGCTCTAAGAGGATGGGCTGGGGGGCTCATGAAGGGTCTGAGTGGAAGGCCTGATGTCCATGAGCCTCCTGTCTTCTCACATTCATTTACTGACTGATTATGTTTGGGAGTGCATGTACCACAGGGTGTGTATGGAAATCAGAGGGAACCTGTGGGCTTGTTGCGTCTCTCCTACCATGTGGATCTTGGGGGGAGGGGGATCAGAGTCAGGTTATCAGGCTTGGCGGCAAGTGCATTTACCCCCTAGCCATCTTGTTGCCCCCCCGTCCCCCACCCTCTGTCCAGGAAAGAAGGAGGGTCCATGCAGCACCAGCCAGGGCCAGTCCACAGGCTACTCACCTTCTGTAGGCAGCAAGGGCAGAGTAGGCAGGGAGAGAAAGGCAGTTATAGAGGGTTATTAGCTGGCTTGGTACTTCCCACCCCTGATCCCCATGAGGTCTGTGGTCCAGGGTGCCACCTTCTCATTTGACCATGTCTCAGCCCAGATGCCTGACCATTGGGTGATCCTGGGGTTACTCTTGCCCCCAGCCACACATCAGGTGTTGGGGAGTATCTGGGAAGGGGAGGGGTTATAGCCAAGTGGGGCTCTCACCCAGGATCACTCACCACAGTTGAGTCCACCTTGGGGCCCCCGTCATCTGCCACCACTGTCAGTATGTAGAAGTCTCCCTTCTCTCGGTCCACCAAGCCCTTGACTGTGATGACACCCTGCATAGCCAGACATCTCAGTGACATCAGGCAGTGACATCACTACCCCTTCTAGAAGTTCTGTGCTCCAGTTGGACTCTGCCATCTCTCTTCCCCAACCCCACCAGTCACACACGTCACCCCCTTCGCCAGGCACAACTAAGTATCCTGTGAAGCCACTGGACAAAATTCCCCTATTCTTACAGCTCATTCAGATGTAGGCTGTTTCTCCCACAGGGTTTCCTGCCTCCTTCCTGCTAAGCAGGTCCTCTCCAGGGGACCCCATGATAGCCATCATCCCATCTTCATACTTCCCACATCTTCCCTGAGTGCTTAGACTTATATGATTGATTCTGCCCATGTCTGTTCCTAGCCTGAGGATTCTTGTTCAGCCTGTGTTCCCATCCTCCCCTGGGACAAGGCCTGGCGCATTACAGGGATTCATCTCTACCTTGCCTGCTTTCAAAGAAAGGATTCTGGGAAAAGATTAAAGCAGAGAGGAGTCAGACACCTAGTTTAGAATAGCTATTGTAGAGAAGGGTAAAAGTTAGAGCTGAGCTTCCTAACAGCCAAGGTAAAAAAGGAGATAAGATGGCTTGTATAGCTTTCTGTGATGCAGTGAGATACTAAAAAATATATATATTTGGTCTCTTTCACTGCTTCCTGACAGAGCTCATGACCCCTTGGCATTTCCTGGTGATAGGCGCACCTAGGGACAGGAAAGAACTGGGGATGAGCATAACTGATTATATCTTAATGCTGCAGCCTCCATAAACATCCCTGACCTGTGTGGTTGGGAGAGCTTGTGGCCTGTTGAATGAATATGTACAAGTCCTTTTATTTTCTTTTATTTTAGTTTTTTAGAGGACAGGGTCTTGCCATGTAAAGTTGGCTGGTCTGGATCTCGAGATCCTCCTGCCTGAGCCTCCTGAGAGCTGGGACTGTACTTGGGCAGATTCTTGATCTGAGAGTGATGCTTGGGAAGTCCTAGAGCTTACAAGACATATCACTTCATCTGCTATTTGTATCCTTTAAGCAGCCTTTTGTAGTAAATGGGCAGCAGTAAGCAAAGCATTCCCAGAGCTCTGTGAACACTCTAGCCAGCTAACTGAAGTTGAGCAAGGGATCATGGGAACGCTTATGCCTGTTAGTCAGGGCACAAGGGAAATGGCAGGCTATGCAACTTGCACCCAAAATAGGATAGGCTCTTGCTCTGGGTACAGCTACTCTGAACAAATCCAAATCCAAGGGTGCCCCATGGGCAGCAGAAAGCCCGGGGTGGGGGAAATCCCACACTTTGGTGACAAGAGAGGTATTCTGTGATGATGTGGGTACAGGTGGGAAAGTGGTTGGCTTTTCCTACTGTAACTCCCACCATCTAACAACAAGGACATCAGAGTTCTTGGCTTTCAACACAGTGCCTCGAAATATTGCAAAAAACACATCACAGGGAGGTTTAGTTCAAGGAGAGTACTGTGCATCCAGAAGGAGCTCAATAAATACACATGGCAATAAATACACACCACTCCCACACAGCTCCTTACCGTAGCGGCATCTATCTTGAAGAGGGCTTTGGCCTGGGCGCTGGTATGGGCATCGAAGCGGTAGGTGATCTGGTTGAGGTTGTCTATGGAGTAGGCCTGTACCCGCACAATCTCTGTGCCCAGTGCCAGGTTCTCCATGATGACTGCTTCGTAGGAGGTGTTCGAGAACTGCACTGCCTCATCCAGCTCATTGAGCAGTGTCACATAGACGCTGCAGAAGCCCCGATTGAAGGGGGGTGCATGGTCTGTGGCAGACACGTTCATCAGGTAACTGGTTTTGGTCTCATAATCCAGGTAGTCCACCGTGACGATGAGCCCTGTGCTCTCATCAATCTCGAACTTGCCCTCCGCACCTGACAGGATGCGGTAGTTGACCAGTCCACCATCCCCTGTGGGAAGACACAAGCTGTGTGGTCCTCAGATGGGGGAGAGATTGACTGTCCTATGGTCTCTTGAACTATCTATACCTGGTGCTATCCCTGAGGGACAAGGCTAGAGCCTTAGCTGCTGCACGAAACATGTACTGGCCTCAAGATTCTCAGAGGAGGAAGCAGAGCTCAAGGTGAATGGTGAGGCCCAGCACAGTGCTGACCCTCTCTAGGGGTTGATATGAGCACCAGAGATCTACCAGAGGGGGTTGGTTCAGTGCCCAGAGCCTTGAGATTCAAGTTCAACACCTGTCTTGACTATCTTGTGGTGGTTTTTTGATCTAGAAAGCGTTAGCCATTCTCAGAGTGGTCAAGTCTTCATCTGGGTCCCCTGGTGGAAAAGTCTCAGTGACAAATACAGCTCCCCATTCTCCCTTGTACACTCCAGGGTACCGTGCCTGGGGCAGGAGGAGTAAAAGGGAGAGGCATAAAGTCACTCAGCATGTCCAGGATCTCCTTGGAGCTCTTAGGGAGGGGACCCACTGCTTCTGCTAGCCTCTCAAAGGGCTGCCTGTGCCAAGAGGCCGTAGCAACATGTGGGACCTGAAGTATATCAATACGTCATTTAGAGAATGATCCAGCTGGGAATCCTCAGAGCTATATCCCTGTCACCTATCCTGGGTGGCAGGTGATCTCTGAAGCTGAGTGGGGCATGGAGACTACTGGGGTAGTGATGAAAGACTTGGACAGTAGTCAGTGCAGCAGAGGCAGCTCAGGAGTCTCTCTGGGGACAGTGGAGGCCAGGAAGAGCTCCTCTCCTGGCCGGGTACAGGCTCCATGCAGAGGCCAATGGTGTCCCAGACTCTTGTCCCCTTTACTTGACATGGTTCACTGTGGGTACATCTGGGGCTCTGGAACCTCAGTTGTTGGAGTTACCTTCAAAGCAGACCACCCTCCAGTAGGAAGAATGGCCTATCGGGAAGTCTGTGTCAGGCTCTGAGCATCTCAGAGGGTGGCAGCTGGCTGAAGGAGCAAGCGTCAACCAGCTTTTGGACATGGCCCTATTACCTATCTCAACCCTGTCCAGCCCATTGCCAAAGTCTAGCAGGGGGATGCTGGGTCCCAGGATGACTAATGCAGACTTTTGCCATGCTCCTCTGCCCATCAGAGGGTAGATAACTCCCCTGACTCCAATTTTCTTGGGCCTGGGCATCTGAAGGAGTGACCAACACCATCCAAAGAGCCCCTCTCAAACCTGTTGTGTCTCTAAAGAGGACTCGAGGATGTCAGGGCCCCTCATCAGCAGGGAGGGTCACTCTGAGCAATGGCTTCCCTTGGTTCCCCCTACCCCACCTTACCAGTGTCTCTGTCTGTGGCTCTGACGACGATGACTGAGGTGCCGATGCCTGCTGTCTCTCGAAGGCCCAGGCGGTTGTACTGCTGCTGTGTGAACACAGGGGCCTCATCGTTGACATCTTCCACGTACACAATCACCTGCAGGGGTGGGCCATGCTCAGGTCAGGGTATGGTCTCTGCTCCCCCTGGACAGTTGGAGCATCCTCTGAAGGCCCCACTGAGTCTACCCCCTTGTATAGGACCTGACATGCAGCTGGTACTCAGACACTGTTCAGCTCTGCTGCTGACCTATGGGAACCAGTGATTATTAATGACACTTAGGGGTAGTCATATCTTCTCCAGTATGAAATGGTTACATTACAAATAGCTCATGCTGCACTATTCTTGTGGTAAAGTGTGGAAGACAAATAGGCCGGGCTCATGAAAGTGCTAGACAGTGACTCAATCTAAACATTAAAATATGGCTAAGACAGATTTGAGGAAAATGTCATGGTGGCTGGAAAGGATTTGGGTGCTTTGAGCCCTGTGACCCTCACACACAGTAGCTCTCTGAGGAGTGCCAGTTCCACTCAGGATACCTGGGCTGTCAGAAACCAGCACCTAGAGAGCAGACTGGGTGCTCACTGCCTTGGGCAGAAAATAGCATGGACAACAGACCTGGCTGCTGCTAGAATTTCCCTGGAATAGAGGACAGATCCCCCTAGCCCACTTTGCTGGGTGTTTCCTGGTCCCCCACTTCCTCCCACTTTCCTGGGGACACTTCTTAATACTTTCACAGTAATGCTTGTCTTGGGTTGCTTTGGGAGACTCTACTCAAGAAGGTATCCACTTTGGAATTGTGTGATTTTGTAGAACTTTCTCCCCACTTTTTCTTAATGAGTGTGTGTGTCTGGTATGGAAAAGGTTACTGTTTATAGAGAGCCTCCTCCATGAGCAGAGATTGCCCCTGCCTTTTTCATCTTCCCCGTACCTGGAAATACCTGGGGTAGGTTTGGCACAGGCATGGGTAGCATTGTCTGGAGAGACTGGTGTGCCGGGGAGGAAAGGGCGTTAAAGTGGGGGTGCACGAGGAACTACGGGGAGTCTAGGCCCTTGCCTCCTTTAAGAGATGGGGAACAGAGGTCCAGAGAGGGGGACATGACTTGCCCAAGACCTCAAAAGGCTGGGCTCTAAGGGCAGGGGTCTCAGGCTCTGTGCTGGGGATGAGTTGGCCCCAGTGGAAGAGAGGGCCTTCTTCCTGGCTCCCCACAGCCAGGGCAAAACCTCAAAGTAGAGGAGAGAGGGGAGGAAATGGGATGGAGGAGCTGGTGTAGACAGCACAGGTCATGTGGTCAGTGGTAAGGCTGGAGGCAGGAGGCAAGGCAGCCTCAGGACACCTGCCTTGGCATTGTGATTATATTGCTAGCTGCCTCTGGGATCATCCCAAGTGGCTCTTCCAGGATTAGCTGGGGATTTACTAGAAAGAAGTAGAGGGATTCCTGGCTGATGTAAACATACAAGGGGGGCCTGACTGGTGGAGGACTCAGGGTGCCTAGAATGGTGGAGCCAGGGGAGAAGGGGCATGTGGTGGCCAGAGAGGCCCAGCGAGCTCTCTACTTCACTGCCCTGTTCATGTCAGCAGTTTTCATGTCTAGACATTGAGACTCTACTATGAAAACAACAGCGCCCACCTCAGAGCACAGCTGTTTATAGTCTGGAGCTTTCTAAATTTAGCTTCACCCAGAACTTGTCACAGGAGATCCTGGGTGTGGTGGCTGTGGGGGAATTTGCACAGGTGAATTTCTGGGAACTCTCTGTAAACAGAAATTAACCATCCATCTATCAAAACTCTTAGCCTTCCCTTTCCGGACCTGCTTGTCCTGATGACCTCCGATGACCTTAACTTCTATGGGCCGTGGGGAAAGAAATACGCCAGTCTGACAGTGTGAGAGGAAGAAGAGGAGGTGGCATGCAGCTAGGCCACATGCTTTCGATGGTCTGGGCTTCATTTTTAGCAGCAGGGACAGGAGGAAAGATGATGTGTGGTTTGTGAACCCGAGAGAGTAACACAGCTGAACAGGAAATACAGGCCAGCTGAGTTCTTGCTGAGCCAGAGGAAGCCGCCAGGCTCCTCATAAAACCAGACTGCTTTCTGTCTAGGGTTGTCATACCTTCCAACAGGGATGGAAGGGCAGACATATGCATGCATTTATGCAGGTGGGCAGGCAATGTGTGCATCCAGAGATGCCCAGGGCCAATAGGACGCTTTCCCTGGCCCTCATGGGGACTGTCCCTGGTCCCTAAAACAGGAATTGCAGCCTGCAGGTGGTCATAGCCATCACTACCATTGCAAAACAAAGCTAGAGTTCCCACATTGCCATCAGGAAGGTCCCCGGCTTTCCTGGGTCTTAGGGGGTACAAAGGCTGTTTACTGCAAGGGTCATCAAGTTCCCATTTCAGAGGACAGTCCCCTAATTCTCATCTTAAGTTTACTCTCTGGGGATAAGGCTATCGCTCCTGTCAGGGATCTGGGGCAGTATAGTACATAGATTAGTATAGTGTAGAGAGGTTAAGAGAACAGTCCAGGCTGCCGGCCTAGGGGTGAAGCCTGGCTCAACCCATACCACCCTAGAATGCTAACCAAGTTGGCTAATATTTCTTTGTCTCAGTCTCCTCATCTGTAGAGTGGGTGTGACACAGTGCCTACCTCAATACTGGATGGGTTTCTTATTCCTCAGGGCTCCTGTGAACAGGAGCATGGGGCGGGGCAGCACCTGTCACTAGGGTGCCTGTCCCCTGCAGTGAGCAGTCTTTGTACAGGCTGTCTTTGAACCCTGGGATGCAGCAGAGCATTTGCTTTAAAAACAAGGGTGGTGGTTAAAAGCGGCTTGCAGCTACAGTGCTCAGGCACTGAGAGGCGGCCTTCAAGGAGAAGGTGGTGGGTGAGGGGCCACAAAGAGGGTTGTGGTTAGGAAGCCTGAAGTCCAGGAGTCCAGCCTGAGCCTCACTGACATCAGCTACTCTGTGACCCGAAGTGGGCCCACAAAGGGCAGGCTCTGCCGTGGGCCTGTTGATAAATGTGAATAAAAACATGACATGCATGGGAACACGGTAGTCACAGCTTGCCTGGTGCGTGCTCAGGAAACCAGGCCTGTGTCATTCATCAGGCTCTGAGAAGGACCTTCTGAGGGACCTGACCCCCTCTACTGAATCCATTCCTTGGGGAGAGTGTGGGGCAGTGCTATCTCCTATCTCTTCTAAGGCAAAACTGATGGGCAAGAGCAGAGCTGGTGGCCAGCTGACTGGTGACTATGTGTGGTCCAGCTGTGGGCTCACCCTGACAGAGCTCTGCATGGGCCCAGATCCTTGTTGTAGGCCTTCATCATGAGTACATGGAAGGAGTGTCCCCTGAGTAATTCCAGTGACAGCTGGCCAGGTGGGTCCTGCTCAGTGTTTCCAGCCTGGGGAAATGTCAGGTAGAGACGGGCTGATAAAAGCAGCTGATTCAGTTCCTCTCAAACTGTGTAAAAGTCCCTGCCTGTACTTTTCCTACCTCTTCCTACTCAAGACAGGGACCTCAGTACTCTGACTCACTTCCTGCCACATTAGGGGAAGGGGCCTTGGGCTGCTAAGTAGGCAGTGGACACGGGGAAGAGTGCAAAACAAATCTCTCTCTCTCTCTCTCTCTCTCTCTCTCTCTCTCTCATTAGAGAAGATCCTTTGGCTTCTACTCCCTAGTGAGGGTATGTAAGAACAGTTTAGTAGGGTAGCTGGGAATATTTTAGAAACAGTTTCAATAGAAACAGTATGGAACTTGGATCCAGAAGACAGGCTGAATGATGTTGGCATCTACCTCTCAGCTCACTGTGGAGAGGAGGGATAGATTGGTGAGGGCTCCACTGTCCTCCCTTGCTTAGCTGGAGAAACTGAGGTACAGAGCAAAAGGACAATTCCAAGATTCCTGGCTAGGTTGGGCCCTTGGCCTCCTAACGAAACTCCCAGCCCCAGATGTTAGCACCAAAACCAGTAGTGGCCTGTCCCAACCATGCCCCAACTGTTGGCCAACTGATGGCCACATGTAGTCCAGCTGTGGCCTCACCCTGACAGAGCTCCTCATGGGGCCCAGATCATGGTTGTAGGCCTCCACCATTAGCACGTGGGAGGAGTTCCACTCCCTGTCCAGGGGCTGGGGGCCTCGCATCAGGAGCCCATTGCTGACATGGATCCGGAAGTTGTTGCCGTGATTACCTGTGTGGAGGGACACACAAGATGAATGGGCTGGGCCAGAAGCTGGATGCCTGTGAATTTCAGGCCCTTTGGTGTGTTGGTCTTGCTCACAGGTTTTGGGAACTTGGCTGAAGCCCACAATGACCTAACAAGGTGGGGTGTGGAGACAGATTCATCTGCCTCTTCACGTGAAAGCGGGGGCCATGCCCTTGGCCCTGTACCTATAGCTCCAATGGGGTAGAGGAAGGTTTCTAGAAACTTCAGAAGGGTTTTGGACCCAAACCTTGTCTATAGGTGGGTGAATCCAGGACTTAGCAGACTAGACTGGGTGGGGTTGGTACCCAAGCCTTTGATTTCCCTCTGAGACCCACTTTCTTCCACACTCAGCCCATGGAGTTCATGCAGGGTGACTTCACCCCTGATTCTAGAAGCCAGCAGATAAACAGGTTTCATGCTCTGGCTGTAGTGAGGGGCTCAGAAAGGAGCCAATGAGAGTGAATCCCCAAGTTGCTTCATGGGAGCTGTCCTAGATTCCAACGCCCCCTCTGTCAGGGTGACAGCTTTGGGAACATTGTAGGATGTGGGGACTTTGAGAACAAGACAATCTAATATACCACTCTTGTTTAGAATATATTCAACTTAGTGCAAATAATCAGAAGATCCCACTTCCTCTCTGGGGTCCCAGCTTATGTGTATAGCACTTGGACCTCAGATCTGAACAGCCAAAGAAATGTCTCCCCAGGGCAGTGGCTGTCCCTCCCATCTCATCCGTGGCTGCTCACTCACCATGGAGGATACGATACCAGACACGTCCAAATTCGCCCTCATCTGCATCTGTGGCTTTCAGCTGAAGGAGAGGAGATACTGGAGTTATTCCTAATCCCAAGGCATGGAGGGAAGCTGTTTGTGCAGCCCCTCTTTACTCCTACCCAGGTATGTGTGCACATACTTGTTATTGTCCACAAGGACATTCTGCTATCTATGACCTATGTTGCCCCACTCAAGGGCCCATCTCTGCCCCTACCCCTCCCCTCCAGGTTTTTGTGGGACAGGGAGCAGCTAAGGAATTTCACCATCACACTCTGGTCCAGACTGAAAGAGGCACCCTATACCTTCATGATCTGGGAGACTCTTGGCAGCTTAGGAACATTTTTACCAAAGCAGCTGCATCACTGAAAAGGCCAGTATGGATGAAGATGCATTAGAAACTGTCCATTGAACTCCCTGACCAACTTGCAGGCAGTTCCACTGAAGAGTTTCCCACGAACTGCAAGTAACCTCTCACCCAAGCGCCTGTAAACTTATTGGTCCTCCAAGGTAGCCTTTGGTGGAGTTTGTTTTATTATTAGTTTCCTATCTGGGATGAACAGATGTTTGCCAACATCTCTCCAGAAAAAAAAAAAAAAAAACAACTGTGCAACTGAATTGGCACCTATTATGATTTGAATGTATAATGTCCCCTATGCTCACGTGTTTGAATACTTGGTTCCCAGATGGTGGCACTGTTTAGGAAGGTTGTGGAACTGGAGGAAGTGGGTCACTGGGGATAAGCCTTGGGGCTTTGTAGCTTGGCTGTGCTTTCTGTTCACTCTCTCTGCTTCCTGAGTGCAGATGCAATGTGACCAGCCAGCCTCCTGCTCCTGTCACCATGTATTCCCTGTCATGATGAACTGCATCCCTCTGGAATTCCCTTATGTTGGGCATTTTATCGCAGCAACGGAAAAGTGACTAAGACAGCATCCAAACAAGAAGCAAGTCCGATTTGGTGAGAAGCAGTTGCATGGTACTTGTCGTGAGATGCACAGCAGAGGCTGGTCCATCAGGGTGGGACATCTGTGGGGGCAAACCTGACACAGCTACATTTTCCCACATGGTACAGGATGGTATACTTCCTTACCCTGATGGTGGTAGATGCTGTCTACAGTGGATGAAAAGAAACAACCAAGCTGGCTCATCTGATAGTGGAGTGTCCCTGGGGGCATCCCAGGACAGCCATCTTCCTCTGTGTAGTATTAGGTAGCATGCCTTCTTGAAGAATGGGGTCTGCCATTTGAGTGTAAGGACATGCCTCAAATGGCTGATAGACTATGGAATAGATCACAGTGTGAAAGCAGCACATGTTGGATGGGCTCAAAAGCAGACTACATTAGCTACCAGTTACGTGGCCTTTGCTGTGGGTGGTGACATGCAACTGAGCCTCAGCCGTGTTGCTCAGAAAGCACTTTCCTATGTAAGGGAAGAACTGCAATGGGAAGAGAGACATGTGGATGCCAACCTCCACAGTAGCCTTTGGTGTGGCAGGCAAAATACTGAAAACAGAGAATGAGTGGGGGGAGTCAGCCTGCTGTTTCTTGCAGCTGGCAGGAGGGAAGGAATACAAGTTATGTCTGTGATAGTCCTTCCTGGGATCCAAAGAGCTGGAATCCATGGACAGAATAGGAGGGTAAGGTAAAAGATGCCCCTCAGGCCCAACCTTTAATACGAAGGGAAAAATCTATGATTCAGCATGCAGACAGAAGCCTTAACAATGGCCCAGTACAGGAGACTGATAATCAGGGACTACTCAGCCTCTGAACTGCTTCAGTTGGGAAAAACTTTTCAAAAAGGAGTAAAAGAGCCTTTCACCACCTGGCTTGTGAGGCTGTAGGGCGTGGAAGCAGAGACAATCAGTCTGAGTTATGTAGAAGAACAGAAATTAAGCAATATAACTACCCATCTGTCCTTGAAAGGACGACAGCACAACTTGAGGCAATATGAGAGAAAGAGGTCTCCAATGGACTGGAGCCGGTAAGTACACTTGGCTATGTTTAGCCTAGGTCTCCATGGATATCAGGACTGGAAGACAACAGAGGAAGGGCAGGTATCACTGAGGGAACTGGGCACGTGAGAGGTGGTGCCCAATGTCCAGTTCATGGCTTTGTGTTTACTGGAGAGTTACAAAAGACATTGATCCAACAGGGACTTGAGGACTGGTATGGGCTTCAGGAGCTTTGCCCTGCTCCATGGTGAGATGTGGTCTTTACAAAGTGGGAAAGGCTCTGGTGGGTCTGAACGATTGGGACCAGCTTAGGAACTGGCTTTGTAAGGTGTTAAAGCAAAGAAGGCAAGAAACAAGGGTAAAACAAAGGGTATGTTCAGGTCTCAAAAGCAAATGTGGCAAGATTTATGTTGAATCAAAGTTACCAGAGGAAAATATGACTGACACAGGGTGCAACAGAAGGCCAAATACTGTGCTAGTGAGCGTCCAGAAGGCCTCAAAGCTTAGGCAGGGGCACAAAAGGGGAGAAAGAAGGAATAAACGACAGAGTGATACAGGTGGGAAAGGTCACGACTGTCCAGTGGGTGGGCAGTTACCTTCCCAGAGTATGCTGTGTGGAGTTTTCCCCCATACGGGGTTGGGTGGTGGCGTATACCTATAATTCCAGCACCTGGGAGGCAAGAGAAGGAGGACTGCCATAAGTTCAAGGCCAGCCTTATGTACATAACAAGTTCTAGGTCAGCCTGGACTCCAGAGTGAAATTCTTTATAAAAAATGTATACTATGGATAGAGATTATTCACCCACTTTGGGGCCCCTTCAACATCCAGGTGTGGCTAATAGAGAGTCAGTGGTCACAGAACTGGCCCAGAAACTGCCAGAACCAGGGAATCAGTCCAGTAGCAGCCATGGCAGGTGACAACATGGCCCTGCTCTCCCTGCACTGCCAGCTTGGCTGGGAGGTACAAGCTGTCGCTACCCTCTGGGGCAGGGAGATGCATAGCAACCTCACAGGCACGCCCCAGGAGTAAGAGGTAGGATGGCTTATGGAGAATGTGGATTGTGGAGAGTCCGATGGGATAATATCCCCATCCATGATGCTGTACTCAACATTGCCGTTTGCTTTCTGGGGTGGGTGGGGCAACTGACACAAATGATGAAATCTTTCCATGTTGTAGTGGATCTTGCTTGCAGTGGATGTGGGTGGGCCTTCAGAGGCCCTGCCCACCCTCTATATAGAGATTTCATTATCTAATACCAACTCTTGAGTGTCTTACAGATCTGAAAATCATCTAGAATATCAGTAAAGACAACAGGTAAAGAATTTGAATGATGTTACACTGTGTAGGTGGAAAAAGACACACCACAAAGCCACAAGGTTATTAAACATCTGAGTGATAGATGAGTTGTTGGCACAGGGAGGCCCCTGAGGCCTCACACACCAAATGGGCTATTGTGTTGGCTCTTGGTTACATGGCAGCACTAGATGGCAAGTCCCTATTGTGGAAGATACTACACATTCTGGTTGAAGAAATCAAGCTGGGACTGAGCTGGAAGCACCCTCCCCATTGGCCTGCTTTTGTAGTGCTGGAAGGCGTTATGCAGGCTGCTAAGGGAGAAGTGTCATTCTTACTCCATTATGGACCCTGTCTGCTGTAGAACTATCATACCAGGCTAAATGTCTCCTTTGGTGCAGTAGTGGCATGACTGTTATAGATGCACCTGCTTTACCATTGGATTTAAAACCCACTCTACAAGATGGAACTCACATTTGGTGCTGTAAGCAAGCATAAAAGCATGTGGCCGGGGAGATCATAGGTCCCAGAATCAAGGCCACAGCCATCGTTTTGTTTAATGGATGTGATTTGCCTGACAAATAGCCTTCCAAACATGTATTTTCATGCTTATAGATTATTGCTGCTGTCAGCCTTGGTCAGGCAAACATTTAATTAATTAATTAATTAATTAATTAATTCTAATGGACAGTAGTAGTTACTGAAGAGGCTCTAAGCTCCAGAGATGTGGCTTTTGTGAGCTAACACCCTTATTGGGGTGAGTTTTTTGGTGATGCAGTATCTTTGACTCACCTATGCTCCTGTAAAATAATCCCAATAAAGTTATTAGCTCACTTTGGTTTGTTGTCAGTGCCCTATTCTGAGTGAATATGTTTGTTCTTGTTTCCCCCGAAAGAAGAGGATTTGTGCACTGTCATGTCACTAGTCCCTGGCACAGAGTAGGGTTTATTTTTGTTGTTGTTTTGAGAAAGGATCTCAAGTAGTCCAGGCTGGCCTTGAACCCCTGATCTTCCTGCCTCTTCCTTCCAAGTGCTGGGATTCTAGGCATGTGCCACCACACTTGACCTTTCACATATTTTTTGAATTTGTGAATGACTTAGTAGCAAATCTCTAGTGAGGGACACTAAGTTGATCCTCAGTGAGTCCAGATGAAAATTGTAACACACAGCACTGCAATATTTAGTTTTCTGATCCTTGATATTCTAGAAGCCCAGCTGTATCTGATCTCTCTCTTGACCCTCTGGATCATCCCAGTGTTGCTCTAGTACCCCGCTCCCCTCTGCCAAGGAAGGTTGAATCAGGTTTTTGTGACCTGCCACTTAAAGCACTAACACAAACTTTCCTATCTTGTTTATTGGACGCATTTCCAGAGAAGAGGGCAGAAGAGGGTTGCTGCTTGTAAAGATGAAGTCCACAGAGACACTGGGACCCCCATTTATCTGCAGTGAAGGTTCTTATCCTTTAATTAGGGAGACACCAGGTTCCCACCCACCACTAACTTTTTGGGTAACCCTGGGCAGACCACATCTCCCTGGAGCTTAGCCTTATCATCTGTTAGTGAGGTGGGGTGGGGCTGCATTGGCTCATTCCTAAGACTCCAGCTTTAACTGCGTATAGTAAGGCACCTATCCACTTTAGGGAGGGCAGACAAGACTTTTTTTGTGTGATCATGGGCTCTGAAGGACAGTGTGGGGCCAGGCATAAGCCTCAGGTATAGCTGTGACTACTTTTCATGTTGCATTCTGGGAACCTGGAGGCCTCTGATGGGGGAAGCTGCTCAAGACTTGGGTTCCTAAGCAGGCAGCCAGTTGCCAGGGAAGTTTGGCTTCTAGGAAGAAGATAGGCTGGGGGAGGGGCATGGGGTAATGGGGGTGGGGTGGAGAGACCCTGGTGGCCCACCCAAAGTGACTTGTCATTGGCTGCCCCATAGTCCTAAGCTCTTTGAGCTTTGAAAACTGCCTTTGGCCCTTACTTCTGCAGCAATACCTTCAAAATAAAGATGCTTTTCCAAGAAGCCTGGAAAGACAGGGCCTAGGGACCCTGCAGGATGGGCGTGGGGGTTCCAGGGCCCATCACACCGCCTGCTCCTCTGCCACTGCCTTTCAGTTTGTAGACCCTCTCCCTGGTAACCTGGGGGCTGGCAGGCATTGAATAGCCGACCAAACCATTCCAACTTTCAAGGGGGAAGGTGGGAGTCCCGGGTCTGTGAGACAGTTAACCCCACCCCTTGCTCCCACCAGTGTTTCCACTCCTGAGAGGGCTCCAAGGAGACAGGCTGGAGTGAGCCAGAAGGGGGGCTCCCCTCTCTTCCCACCCAGTTGCCATCCCTACCTCCCAGCTGTCCCCTCCCCCAAGCAGGCCAGGACTCTTCCTGCAAAGCCAGGTCCAGCCAGAAAGCAGGGGAGAAGTGCAGTCTGCTGTAGGTACGGAGGAACTTAGGGCACGGTGGGTCCCAGCTGGATGTTATACCTTGGGACTCCTAGGACAGCTAAGAGTCCTTGCCACTGACAGTGCAGACCTCCAGGGGCTGGCTGTGAGGTCAGTGCTGGGACACTACAGAGAAGGCCAGGTAAGAGAAGTTGGGGGAATGCCCTTGCTGGGTGACTTGGGAGGATGCAAGGTTGTGCTCAGATCTGAGGAGTCCTTCTGTTACTCTGAGAACAGAAACCAGGTCCCATGAAGGGCAGTTGCTGGGCCAGGCCACAGAACAGCTTTTTGTTCTGTGGAACTCTAAGGGAAGCAAGAGAGCTCTAAAAGGAGCTTGCAGAGAGATGTATCCAGAGGAGGGCTCCAGTAGGGAGCTTCCTGCTTGGTCTGTAGGAGCTTCCTCCAGAAATAGCTGTTCTTGCTGGCTGAAGGGCAGAGGATGTTGAGGGAACCTGGTAGCTGGGCTTTCCTGGAACTCCTGGGCCGGTGTCTGGATGTTTACAGGCACATGTCAGTCACTGGCTGCCACCAGAATGGCTTAGATGTTGATAACAGCAAATTCTGTCTGTTCCGAATTGGCTCTGGGGCCTGGCCTGCAGCCTCACAGCTAGGAGGATGGAGGTCTTTCCCTGATGAAACTTGAGACTGAGCGCTGATGGCCAAGGGATGGCTGGTTTCTCTCTGTGGGGGATGGCAGAGGGCACACCCCATCCCTCCTCCAGCTGAGACTCCAGGAAGGCCTGGAGGGTGGAGGCCTTGGGCAGTGAGACGGACATCAGAGTTTCCAGACTGGAGTGGCTTCAAGGGTTGGGAGGGGTGGGCAAGAGTCCAGTCCCAGGTGCCTGGGTAGCTCTAGATGCCCTCAGTCATCTGGACACAGGAGCCAGGAGTTGAGTCCTGCGGTAGCTGGTGAGTGCCCAAATGGGACAAGGGCTCCAGGGGCTGGGGGCCTGGGCTACCATGTTCTGTGACCTGTGAGTAGCTGGTGAGTGCCCGAATGGGACAAGGGCTCCAGGGGCTGGGGGCCTGGGCTACCATGTTCTGTGACTCCTCACGGCTACAGGCATGGCCTTGGCATGACTGAGCCTCTCCTGCTGCTTGGCTTCAGTGCTAGAACCTGAGGGAGATACTGAACAAACTCGGAAGGAAGCTGTTCTTCCTTTGCCCTCAGGAGCAATTCTAAAGTCAGAGAGAAGGACTGAGTTTTCTTTAGGCCTTCATTTGGATTTCCTGTCCTGGGTTTGTGCAGTTCAAAGACCACAGATGCAGGCTTATCAGCTGGATGACACCTTCTTGGTGTGTTTTGTTTAGCCTTGAGGCATATCCGATATTTGAAAATGCATGCCCAATTTTTTTTGGAACCAAGTTTTTCTGGCCTTCTGCTATATGTCTATCTCTTCTTCTTTGCCTTAAACAAATTTGAATTAATTGCCATTATTTAAATAATAGGAATGTTTACCTTAAAAGTTTTCTTGCTTCCTTTGAGAAGCTGGAAAATCCTGGCACATGGGTTCTGTGTGCCAGCCCTCAGTACCATGAGTTGAGGCTATGGGATTAGTTGATGCTCTCCTCAGAGCTGCCCACCTGTCCTCTTTGGTCATGTGTTACCTGCAGCAAGGCTCTGGGACCTTTGTCATCTGCCACCTAGTCATGTCAGAGCAGCAGTTAAGCCCCATCTTCCACCTCTGAGGACCATCTGCTACACACTCTCCATGGGGCTCTCTAAAGGGACAGGAAATACCTGGCAGGTGAATGATGTGCTGCAGGCCAGGGTTCCAGTCCCACTATGTCAACTCCTTGTCATTTTAATTTCTCACCTGTGCCTGAGTGGATCACTGGGCTCAGGGAAGGTTGGGGGTCAGAGGAGTGGGCAGGCCATGGGATCTGGAGCCAGGACACCTGGTCTTGCTCTAAGCCCATGTGACCTTGGGCTTAGCCTTTCTCTGGCTGGGCCCCAGTTTCTCTGGGAGTAGGTTGGACTGCATCAGAAAACAGCAACATTAGTATTCATGGGTCTGGGCAGGTGAAAGAGTTGTGTGGTGGGCCTCAGGGAGTATGGCCAAATGTGGTCCAGCACCCTGTCCAGCTGCTGGTACCAGGGTGGATAGTGGTGAAATTCTGACATTTTAAGAGATATCCACAGCACTCAGGCTGGCCTCGAACTCACTATGAAGCTGCAATTGGCCTTGAACTCCTGATCCTCTTGCCTCCACATCCAGAGGGCTGGGATTATAGGTCTGTACCGCCACACCTGGTTATCTGGTTTGGAAATCTCTTTTTTGTTTTTGTTTTTGTTTTGAGACAGTCTCACTATGTAGCTCCAGCTGGCCTGGAACTTGCTATGTAGACCATCTCATGCTGGCCTTGATCTCACAGTGATCCATTGGCCTGCTTTTGCCTCTCTAGTGCTGGGATTAAAGGCATGTGCCATCATACCTGGCTGGAAGTCTCATTTAAAAATTATCACAATTAAATTAAAAATATACCAAGAGCCCAATGAGACACCCATGTAGTACCCCTGGGCCACAGCCCGCTAGCCCACTCTAGTGTCTGGTTTTATATTCTGGTTTTTGTTGTTGTTGTTGTTTTGACAGGGTCTCCCTAGTCACAGTCCACCTGGAAGTCATGATGTGAACCAGGGTGGCCTCAATCTCATAGAGATCCACCTGCCTCTGCCTCCTGAGGGCTGGGATTAATGGTGCACGCCACCACGCCCAGTGTGCATCTTATGTTCTGACTTGCTCCTGGTCACTGAACAACTAACTGACTGACAGATTAGGTCCTAGATCCTAGCCCTCTAGGCCTAAGACTATATGGTAATTGGTGAGAATTAGTTTTAAAATGCCAAAAAGCTTTTATTATGGTTTCTTTTACGTAGGGTTGTAGTAGAAAGAGGCCTTGAGTTCAGACCCAGATTCATCAATTATTAGCTGTGTGTGATGAACCCTCTGACCTGTTACCTCTCTAGCCTCACGGTCCTAACCTGTCACTGGGTGTCATGGTTGGCTTTGGTTGTCAGCTTGCTCCCCCATTAGGGGAATTTCCTCTATCAGACTGACTTGTGACCATGTCTGTGAGGCATTTTCTTGATTGCTGAGTGATGTGGGAGGGCCCCGGCCACCCCTGGGCTGGTGGTCCTAGGTTGTATAAGGAAGTGGGCTGAGCATGGTCCAGAGGAGCAAGCCAGTCAGCAGCATTCCTCCATAGTCTCTCCTTCAGTTCCTGCCTCCAGGTTCCTGCTGGAGTTCCTGCCCTGACTTCCCTCCATGATGAACTGTGATGTAGACATGTAAACCAAATAAACCCTTTCCTCCCCAAGTTATTCATGGTCAGTGTTTTATCATGGCAATAAAAAGCTAACTAAGACACGGGGCCATAATGAGAGAGAATAACAAACTGCTCAGCCTCCCCTCCCCCAGTTGGTGCTCCCCAGGTACGTCTTGTGCACTCCTGCTTGGGGTCCAGCTGTTCTGCCCTGAGCCTCTGTCTTGTGTCCTTGCAGGCATCATGAGCACAGGGGGCTCCAGCCTCCCCAGCCCACCATCCTTCCTCACAGTTCCTGCCACTCCTGGGACTCCTGCTGAGGCTATTGACCCTGTCCCAGCTCTCATCGGCCTGGCCTGCATCTTTCTGTTGCTGGTGTCCTGTTTGCTGTTCATGATGCTATGTAAGCCAACTGCACTGGACCCTGGCCGCAAAAGGACCCAGGAGTGCATGCCACACCACCCAGAAAGCCCCAGTGAGCCAAGGCTCCGACTCTGGAAGCGACTGGGCTCACTCCGCCGCTCCCTGCATAGCTTCCGGAGAGGCCAGCCTGCTGTCCAGCAGTGTGCCCTGTCAGGCCTTGATGGTGACTTTGACCACACTGAAGCCACCAAGATGTGATACCATGCCCATCCACACAGAGGCCTGACTGGTACTATGGGCCGTAGGCCAGTGGTCTGGACACCCTGGACCTTACATCACCCCCAGTGTTTCCCTGTGTAGTCCATCCCATGTCCTTCCCAGAGGACCCTGAAGACGTGCCCCCTGATACCACTTGTTAACAGATGCTTGGATCAAAAGATGACCATCCATAGGTGTCTAGGCCTTTATCCTGAGGTCTCCATGTCTAATCTGTAACCCTTTCCTGGAAGCTGGGTAGAGCTGGGTACCTACTGTTCCTAGGAACAGCACCCCTGCCCCCTACATGAGCCTCACCAATCCCATCTTCTGAAGGCCCAACTTGGAACAGCTGCTGGAAGACCAAAGGCACCTGAGTCAAGTGGGACACTGGCCTACCCCAGGGTCTACACTATCCTGTGTTTATGCTAACCCAGCACCCCAGGAAAAGGGATCCAGACTCTTGGTCTTCTTGCCCCTCCTGGGGGGTCAGATGTCTGGTTGCTGACCAGGGCCAAGCGGAGTAGCAGATGTCAAATCACAAGCCTGGAGCTGTCTCAGTAGCCCCCTTCCATGTGAATTGTCAGGACTGATCAGGAGGGGCTGCGGATGGGTTAAGAAGCTTCCTGTAAGTTGAGTGTGGTAGCTCACACTTATAATCCCAGCACTCAAGAGGCTGAGGTAGAGGTACTGCTGTGTGTTCAAGATAGCCTGAGTTATAGTGAGTTCCAGGTCAGGCTGGGCTGCAATGTGAAACCCTGATTCAAATCCATCAAATCAAACAACAAGAATGACAATGGCTGCTGCCAGAAGCCAGGAGGAGGCAGTGTGATGGAAGCCCAGCCACTGCCAGTGCTGAAAGGCCAGCACCTGGATTCTGAGGATGCACTGCAGTGGTGCCATGTCTCACTGGGAAGGAGGTGGCCCCCTCTCAGTATGGCTCAGACCTCCCAGGACAGCTGTGTGATGAGGGCTGGACCACACTAAGTGTGCTCTGTGTGCTGTGGCAACTGCTTTATAGCCTGACCTGTCAAAGGCCCATCCCAGGGTGAGATGCTGGGAATCCCAAGCCTCCCATCTCCCATTCCAAGGCCAAACACTTATGCTGCATCTCAGATTTGGAGACTGGGCAGAGACAACCTGAACTGTGCCGCTTCTGTCCCAGAGTCAGGTGGCCTGGAGCCTCATCATGGGGCTGCCCACAGTACAGCCAGCCAAGTCTTCCCAAGGACTAAGCTCTGACTTCATCACTCCCTATATTCACAGCCTTCACTGGCCCCCTAGTGCTGAATATACCCATTCCACAATATGAAGTGAGCTCTGGGAACTGGCTGCAATTTATCTTCGTAGCCTCATCCTGACCAAAGACTTCAGGCAACTGAACGATCAATCATCCCTGACTGTGGCTTATGCTTTACTGGTACCCACTTGGTAAAACTTGCTGTCTTCCCATGGAAATGCCTTCCTGCCTGGAGCTCATTTGTCTGGGGGAGGCTTTCAGCATGCAGAGTCTTATCTCTCTTCTTCCTACAAGCCCAGGGGCTGCAGAGAGCTGGATCTTGTCCCAGCTTCATTGCATCCCCAATCCCCAAAGCACCAATAATCTGATGGGTACCTGCTCCACACAGAGCCCTGGTCTCCCCTATGATGCCTCTATGCCTTATGAGGCTACTATGCCTTCCTTCTACATCCAGGTGACCTCGGAGAGGAAGACCATTTGCAGGGCACTCCTTACAGGGCCTGGGAGAAGGTGCCCTGAGACTCTGAACTTCTCTGCAGAGACAGGGAGAGCAGGGAATCTGTGTTACTCAGGAACCCTAGGATGTGGGTCCAAGTCACGTGTACATAGAATCCAGTGCTATGTGGCTAGGAAGCAGGCCAGTCTCCTGCCAAAGGCTTCACCCTCCCTCCCTGCTTCTTTACCTCCTTCAGCTGAGGTCAGAGGGAGGGCCCCTTCGCCTCCTCTCTGGAGTCATTCACTGGACTCTTGCATGTCTCTAGACTTCCTGAACTCTGGAGAGTCAGCTTTCTGTTCCTTAACTGCCTACTCTGGGTGTTACCCAGGGAGGTAGGCACCCTCCTACTCCTATCTCTCCCTCTTCCACCCTCCCCAACTGGGAAGCAGGCCACAGTGGCAGGCCCAGCTTTGCTGAGTTGGGCTCACTGGCTCAACCTCGGGTGGAGTGGAAAACCCGGAGGCTGCTGAAGGGAAGCCATTTATTCCCTGTCCCCCCAGCAACTGAGGCCTGGGCTGTGTGGGGGAAGCTTCTCCCTTTTAGCTGTGGCTCCTGTTCCTGGCCAAGGAGCCCTTTCTTCTTCCGCCTGCTTTCTTCCAAGAGGGGAGCCTGGCCAAGGAGCTGTGAAAGCCGCTCTGTTCTGGCTTCGCTGGGCCCTGGCTCTCTCTCCTCCAGTCCTTTCTCAGAAAGTGTGATTTCCCTTCTCCCCTGCTCTGAAAAGCCCTGGGATGGAAGGAGGCCAAGGCAAGCCAGGGCCCTGTCCTCAGCTAACACAGCCCAGTCTTCCTGGGAGGCAGGAGGGACTTAGTCTCCCTTTTTCCTGAGTACAAGCCACTTCCAGAGCAACAGGCCCACCCTGTGCCCACCCCTCCTGCCATGGTGTCACTGGGTCAGTGCTCTGAGGACTGAGCCTGCCACCTACCTGCACGATGCTGTGGCCCTCAGGGACGTCTTCTGGGATGCTGGCTTCATAGCTGCTTTGTAGAAAAATGGGTCTGTTGTCGTTCACATCCAGGACAGTGACAAACACCGTGGCGGTACCTGTGTGCCGCTTGCCTACAGGACCATTGTCTATGGGAGGTGAAGGACAGGTGTTAGTGTCTGATCACCCGGGCCTGTGCACTCCAGGCCACCAGCCTGAGTCACATTGTCCCACATCAGCCTCTGCAAGGGATGGCTCTTTCTTCTTCCACATAATAAAGAACATCAACAATACCCAGGGCTCAGATAATACCATATCCCAGACAGATACTGTTCTAACTCCTTCAGTCCTCATCACAGCCCTGCGAGGCAGGTACCATTCACTTTCCCAAGTCACAGGCAAGCTAACCAAGGCACTCAAGCAGGTGAGTTGAACGGTTGAATCCTCAGGAACCTGTGTAGGTTAACTCACTTCAGAAGAGGGGCCTTTGAAGAGGTAATCAAGTTAAAGTCCTTTTATCCATTTTCTGTATACCCAGTGGTAAGTGTCCTTAGAGGAGAAACCACTTCTGAGCACAGTGGGTATCTGTAGTCCCTCAAGGGAGGCTGAGACAGGAGGACCACTAAAGCCCAGGTGTTTGAGAACAGCTTGGGTACTTTGGTGAGAGCCTGTCTCCAAAACCAATCAACCACCCACCCACCCACAAAGAGGTGTTTAGATGAAGATGGAACCTTGAACTGAGAAATTCCTGTGACCACCAGCCACAGAGGGGCATGGAAGGAGTCTGCCCAGAGCCCATGGAGGAACTGTGGCTCTGCCAACACCTTGATTTTGAACTTCCAGAACCATTTCCGTTGCTTTAAGTCGTGAAGTTTGCGTTAATTTGTTCAGGCCTGCGTGGGTCCCACACAGGTGGTAAGATGCAGGCAGCTGTCACAGGTAGGATGGGTTGAAGGGGGAGGAACCTATGTGAGATACCTGGGCCAGCCACCTCAAGGGCAGCTGTCCTCTGCTCCAGTTACAGAGGATGAGTAGAATATGGGTCTAGGGACACCAGGCTTCTAGTTTCTCAAAAGAAACTGAATATATGAACTTGTGAATAAAGCTCTCAAGTTTTAAACTTTCCCTGAGTATTGTTTCTTACTAAACATCAGACTGGTCAGATGAGTGTGCCTGCAGGATAGGTTTGGCCCTCAAACGTAAGCATGCCAGGACTCTGCAGGAGACTCTTGGGGCACTGAGCTGTGATGATAGAAGCCATTGCCCTGCCCAGGGCAGCTGTTGGAGTGTTCTCCCCAGAGGATGACCTTCCTGCCCAGTGTTCTGTGTTCCAGTCAGGACACTTACTCCAGGGCAGCTGGGCTGGCTGGGGACCAAGGGTGACTCTCCTTTTTCTCCGGGCTGGTTAGTCATGTCCCAGGGTGTGGGTCACTTGCCCTAGGGTGGCCTCTTTACCCCTCCTAGGCTCCTCCTTTTTACCCTGAAGGCCCTGTTGACTTGCCACAGCTGGAAGGCTTTCTAGGAGGGTAGAGACAGAGCCCTCTGCTCCTGCCAGCTGATGCCTAAAGCTAAGGCTGGCCTCAGTGGGTTGATGACTCTCTAGATGGTGGGTGTCACCCCATTCTGTACTGAGGATGAGTAGAAAGCAGGGTGGGGCAGAAGCAGTCAGACATGGCTGAGCTGGGGAGGGCATGGCTGGTTGGAAAGAGTGAGGCATAGCTTGTTCCTGCTTACCCAGAGTTCTCCACAAAGAGGATGCTCCTGGGAGAACCAGAGGTCACTGTGGTGGTGGTGGTGGGGCACACAGGCTTCATCACACTATTCTCCCTCCCCAGAGCCCTCAGGGGCTTCCTATTGCTTGGAGATCAAAGGGCAAACTTCCAGCCTGAGATATTAGCTTCCATATCTATCATCCTTGTCTGATCACAGCTTCCCCATCCTGAATAGGCCACACCTACCTTGGGACACATACACATATCACACTTTCCCACCTCTAGGCATGAGAGTGGTTCTCTCTGCTTCTCCACACACTGAGCTGAGTTCACTCGGCCTTCCAGGTAACACTGGGCACCCCTTGTGTGTGCCCATCAGCACTTGGTGCCCTCTCCTGGGAAGACCACACCCTGACCGTCTCTCTGAGAACCCTATTCCTCAACTCTAAGGCTTTGGGATTCTGGACAAATGGTACCCTCTCATCCTGTCCCCAGCTCCAGAGATGAGCAAATGAAAGGCATAACTGGGCATACCTCACTCCCCCAGCCACTGATGAGGTACTCAGTGACTCTTTTCGGCTAGATGGAGTTAGCCACCACAGCTAATCCAAGGGCTCTAGCCAGGCAGGGAGAAGGCCAGCGCTTGCCTGCTCTGCTGTACCTCAACCTGGGAGGACAGTGAGGTGGCTGCAATGAATGGCCACCATGATACAGAGAATGAAATCAGCACACAGGGGCATAGCTAGCCAATGTGGGGAGACCGAGGCCTGATGGTATCCCCTCAGCCCTGACCAGACACTTTAATTTCGAATTTTTTATTTTTGAGAATTTCATACAACAGTAGTGTATTTGTATTATTTCCATTCGTCCCCATCTCCCTCCAACTCCTGCCATATCCCCCCTCACTCTCTCCCAATTACTTGTCCTCTTCTTTGATAATTATTGTTACATACACATATATACATTTACACCTATACATACACAATACATTGAGTCCATTTAGTGCTGTTGCTGTGTACATGTGTTTAGGGCCGACCATTTGGGATAAGATGACCTCTCAGCCAGCTAGTCCCTGGAGAAAATTGATTCTCTCTCAGCATGCATTGATTACCTTTAGGTGGGAACCCATGAAACTTCCCCATACACCTTGACATGTCAACAGGTTTTGTTATTATGCAGGTCTTGTTAAACAACCACACTGTGGAGATGTCATTGGTATAGCTTCCCTATCATGTTAGAATGCATTAACTAGCCACAGGTGTCTTGTCCCTCTGGTTCTTAGAGTCTTTCTGCCCCTTCTTCCAAAATGTTCCCTGAGCCCAAGGTATAGAGGTTGTATTGTAGATGTATCACTTAGGGCTGGGCACCTCAAAAAATATATAATGCTTCACAAATTTGCATGTCAACCTTGTGCAGGGGCCATGTTAATCTTCTATGTATTATTCCAATTTTAGTATATGTGCTACTGAAGCAAGCACTTATCTTTTGGCTTTTATGAGACATGGTATCACGTAGCTGTGCTGGTTTTGAATTTCTGATCCTCTGGCCTCCACTTTTCCAGTGCTGGTATTACAGGCATTCAGGACCATGCCTGTATGTCACCCAGGAGCTCCTCCCTTCCTGCTTTGCTTCACTGGTGCAGCACTGGCCTGTGCTTGACCTTAGCATCTGGGAGCATGGAACAGTAGCCATCCACTCATAGTGCCCAATAACACTTCGAGTATGTGGTGGGCCTTTCTCCACTGGCCTCAGGGCAGAGTTCAGACTTTGACCCCAGGCCTGCCCCCCCCCATGTGAACTCTGCCCAGAACAACAGTGCAGGGGGTATATGCAGGGCGGACATACCAATGGCCTCCAGGACAAGTGTGTACGCAGCTGTGGTCTCACGGTCCAGGCCTACCACGGTCCTTACCACAGCATCACGGTAGCCCACACTGAATTTCCCATCCACATTTCCTCCTGTGGGTAGAAGTGAAGGAGTTTCAATTTGGATGGCAGAGCTCCATGTCAATTGGGAGAGGGAGGTGGTCTGACTCTACTCTTGAGAGGTGCGGGGGATGCCCAGGACACCTAAAAGAATGCTATTAATCTCTTACAGGTAGTCACAGGCCCTGGAGTGAACGGCAGTACTCGCAGGAGCTTGGATGAGGATGTAGCCTATATGGGCAGAATAACTGGAAGCATACGTGTTCAACACCTACTGAGCATCTACTGTGTACCAAGTTCTCCATGGGGACCAGTTCATTTAACCTCCACTTGACATGAGGTTCCTTGCCCGGGCCTGGGTTTCTCCTATATGTTGATTCTAGAATCTGGATCCTTCCCATGTTGCCTCTGCCCACCCTGCAGAGAAGGCTGAGCAGTTGACTTGGGTTGGGGTTTTTACATGTGGCCAAGGACTGACTTTGGGGTAGGTTTGGTATCTCCCAGGACTTTCATCTTGGCGATCAGATAGAAAGGGACTGAGGACCACAATTCTGTGACTAAGGACCACAATTATCAGAGTGGGGACTCACGAAGGACTACAGAGTAGAGTGAAAGGGCAGGTGGACAGGAAAAGAGGCAGATGGACAGGAGACTGTGAGGCTGAGTGTCTTTGGGTGCCAGGACAGGCAGGAAGTAGTCTCTGAGCCAGTGAAGGGTTCCCTGGGAATCTGTGGGAGCAGCCGCGTGTGAGCTGGCTGCAGTACAGCATTCCAGGCAGCAGAGGGTGCAACCACACAGGGTATGGGACAATCTGGGACTAGGACAGTTCAGCTCCTTACAGAAAGAGGCTGACAGTCTGGAAGGGCTAGAGGAGGGTCAGGTGGAACTTAGAACTTTAGGGTGCTGGGAAGTATCTCTGCCAACTGCCAGGCACTCCTTTCTCCTTACTTTGTTTGCCCCTGGGGGAAAGCCCCTGATGTCAATTTCCAGGGCTTCTCACAGTCTAACTTCATCTGCAAGGGACAGAACTGGCTCCACATGGGACAAGGAGGAACTAAGTGGCACTCAGTGCTGGTGGCTGAACCTCTAGGCTGAGGTCATGAGGGAAGGTCTCATTAACCATGCCTTCCTGGAATGACATTCAGGCTAGGAGGAGAGAGCTCCCCATGGGGAGGCAGGGAAGAAGATCTGAGGAGATGCCAGGGGCTGGAGGGTGCTGCTCCAGGGAACCATGGATGAACTGTCAGCCTGGGATCCCTTGCTGTTGCACAAGGGGAGAGGTACCACAGAAGGTAGTGTGTGCTTTGCACATGTGTACAGGCATGTATGTACAGTTGCATCATGTGTGTGATGTGGGTCCAGGAGGTTCATAAACAGAGAAGATAGCCTGTAAGATAGATTTGTGAAGACTGAGGGGTGTAGAAGAACTCTCCCAGCTCCCCTGTATCCTAGCACCTTTCAGATGCGTCAGGCATTGAAGAAAGCAGAAAAATGGTTCTAACTCAGGAGATGACAACCACCTGGTGTGTCTGCCATATCCTACAGGGGCTGCCACCATGGCAGGTATCACTAATCGATTGCTGCTCACATTCCCCAGAGAGCCAGGGCAGGGCCTCATCACCTTTGGCCACAGCTCTCCTGGTGGTAGCTATTGAATATTTTCCAGTCCAGACAAATTCATCTAGGGAGTTTGAAGCTCTCTGCCTTTCAGCAGATAGAAGTTCTCATAAGTCTCCAGGGAAGGAGGAGGCCATATTTCTACTTTGTCACCTTAATATAGGGTGAAGGTGCACAACAGTTAACCCTCCTTCCCCTTTGAGCAACCCTCACTAGAGCTTCAGGAGGCCCCCAGAGAGTGATCAGCCATCCAGCTCTACAGCTCCCTGGGAAGAGCCAAGAGCAAGCCCTTTAGGAGGTATAGGCATAGAGACCTGTGCCCCTTTCCCATGCTCCTGCTCCCACCTAGCCTGGGTCTCTGGAGGGTTGGGGCAGGCCAGGAAGGTAATTAGGGTGGTACCTGTGATAAAGTAGCTAAGCTCTGCATTGAGGCCCACATCATTGTCTGTGCAGTTCAGCCAGACCACTCGGAACTCTCGGGGAACATCTTCTGATACGGACACGTTGTACACAGCGGGGAAGAAGGTAGGCATCTCATCGTTCACATCCAGTACTGCAGATAGAAGAGATGCTCTGAGTTAGACCTGGTTCATGCTGTGGATGCCCAGGACCATGCAGGAAAAGGATTTCTAAGATAGTCACAGGCCCCGGGCAGCATTTGTGCCAATGTTCCCTGGTCATGAGTCCAGGGGGCCCTATGGCTGCTGGGGCCAGATTCAAGCAGGCCAGAACTGTACTACCTCCCACCATCCCAGACTGTCAGAAAATCCCAGAACCTCCCTCCAGTATAAGCTTAACAACAACAAGGGCAATAATAATAATGTCAATGGGCTCTCCCAAGCTGGTGCCAAGGGCCTCCCACACAGTCCACAGGCATGCCTCATGGCATCCTTAAGGAGTGTGCATTGCCAGACACTGTAGGTGAGGAAACAGAAGCTCAGAGCATTTGAGCAACTTGTCCACAGTCATGCAGTGACATAGTGGAGGGGCTGTGATCTTGGGGAGACCTAACCCAAGTTTGTGGGGCTTACTGTAGGACCAAAGACCAGGCCACCGGCTTTCTCCTGGAATCCCTGTTCTTTCAGGCAGCCCTTCCAGGTCTCCAGCAGGTCCTAGCTCTCCAAACTTTCCAGAGGTCCAGAACCTTCCCTTTTATTACCCAGCTCTTACAGTGCTGGCTGGTAGTATCACTCGGTATCACTCAGGGATTCTAGGGAAGGAAGCTGGCTTTGAAGGCTTTACTCCCTAAAGGTTTAGGTTCCCTTAAAAATTTGTGTGTCCAGTTTTGTACGCCAGGCCCCACTTCCTTGTGCAGGTAGGGTTTGGGGTGATGCCTATAGTGAGATGACCCCCACTTAGGTAATCTGCCCTCTGTGGTGTCACCAGGAGAGGTGATAGGCCATTGTTGCTATGACTTTTGGAAAGACCCTCTGAAGGTCCTCTCTAAAAGATGGGACATACCCTTTGCCAATCACTGGTGAGGAAGCGAGCCCCCAAACTGCCTTCAGGTGTCTGCAGGGGAGGTTTGCATCCATAGGAGAGGATGGCTGGCTCTGCAGTCCTCATCACTCAGGCCTCCACTGCGGAGAGCCAGGGTGTATGCATGTCCTAGGCTAACCTGACTGCTTCCCTGCATTCTCTGAAGGTGGCAAGCTGGGAGGATCAGGCCAGGCTAAGCCCTGACTTCTCTGGGCTATTCATTCCTGGTCTTACAGGCACAGAACCTATCAATATTCCCTTCTTGCCCAGAGTTAAAGACCTACCTTGATGGGAAACCATGCTCTACCATACAAGGTAAACACTTTAGGATTAGCCGAGAGCCCCAGGGGGTGGGGGAGAATCTTGGAGTCTGGGCTGTCAGCAGCTCTCTTCCCAGGGCAGCCATACCCTTCTGTGAGGAGAGCCTCCCACCCATAAATGGGGAGTCCCCTTTACAGCTGAGAAAGCATGGGCCCTCTGAAGATGGCAGGCCTGCTTGGAATCCTGGGGTCCCAGTACCAGCCCTGACCCTCTCTGTGGATGCTATGACCAGAGGCCAGGAGGGTGGGGGCATTAGCAGAGCTCTGAGTCATGAGGCAGTGGTCAGGTGGGAACAAGGCTCAGCTGGCACCTTGAACATGGTGGAAATAGGTAGGGCTGGGCTGTTGGTGTTCCCAAGAGAGGAACAGTGGATAACAGTTGTGAATGTGGGCACCCTCACACACTGATGGTGCCACCCCAGCCCCAGTTCCCAGCAGGAGGCATCCCTCACCACGGATGGTGAGTGTGCTGGTGGAGCTCTTGGTGGGTGTGCCTGCATCGCTGGCTACTACCCGAAGCTGGTACTCAGCAATGCGCTCGCGGTCCAGTTCAGCCATGGCAGTCACCACACCACTGCTGCTGTTGATGATAAAGTCCATGCGGGGCATGCCCACCTGCATGCGATAGGATACCAGCCCATTCAGGCCCTCGTCTACATCAACAGCCATCACCTGGAAAAAAGGAGAAGCTATGTGAGGGGGATGCCAGGGTGGATGCTTCTCCCCTAGGCACGGCCTTTCCTTTTCTACCAACCAGAGCTTGGTGTACTGAACATACCTGTTTCCCTATGAGCCTCAGGCCTGGCCAGTCCCCAGGGCAGCCTTCTAGAGCTCACTACAGGATAGCGTGTCAAAGCAGAAGGATGCTCAGTCTATATATCTGTCTCTGATCCAGATACACAGACTCAGACCAGGGTGGGAAGGGCTTGCTAGGACCAGAGTCCAGGCCCTCAGCCTTCCCCTTCAAGGCCTGCTCATCCTTTTAGGCAGCCCTTCCAGATCTCCAGCAGACCCTGGGACCCCAAACTTCAATGGTCCAGAACCTCCTGTTATTCCCCAAGACCTTACAATGATGGCTGGCAGCATCATTCAACTTAAAGACTTTTCTATCTCCCATGTGTCCTGACTTCCTTGTTTTGCTAAGTTTAGACAGAGACAGGTGTAAGATGATTCCAGGGCTCTTTTCAAATTCATTCTCCCCTGTAGCCCCAGCTGGCCTGGAACTTGCTATATATACCAGGCTGGTCTCAACCTCATAGAGATCTGCCTGCTTCTGCCTCCCTAGTGCTGGAACTAATGTCATGCATCACCATACCTGACTGATGATTGACTGATTGATCTATGTATTTATTGGTCTTTTTGAGACAGGGTCTCCCTGTAGCCCCAGTTATCCTGGAACTATGTAGACCAGGCTGGCCCTGAGCTCACAGAGTTCCACTTGCCTCTGCCTCCCAAGTGCTGGGATTAAAGGTGTGTGCTGCCATGCCCTGCTGACTTTAATTTTTATTTTATGTGTCTGAATGTTTTGCCTGCATGTAACCATGTCATGCAATACCTGTGGAGGTCAGAAGAGGGCATCGGATCCCCTGGAGTTATATATAGTCGTTAGCCACAATGTAGGTGCTGGGAACCAAACCCAGGTCCTCTGCACGAGCAGCTGAGTCACTTTTCTAGCCCCTGGGCTATTTTTTAAAATGCCATTTGAAGATTTCATTTCTTGGTTCATTTCCTTTGAGGTCAAACACAGGCCAAGCTCTTCCCCAGACCCATGCTATTTTCATGGCACTTCCAACCCTGATCAGAGCACTTTCCCAGTTCAAGACTTAGTATGCTCAAAGTTTTATAGAATCACATCTGAGAAGTGGGAGAAAACTACGAAATCACAGTTAAAATAAGAGCTTTGGTTTAAGCCAAGACTCAGGTCATTGGAAGACAATATTCTCATTCACAGTCCACAAACTGGACAAGGCCTCTCCACTCTTCTAGAGTGCCTTCCAGGATGGAAGCACAGAACTTTTATTTGCACGCGGCTCTAATTACTGAGAGAGTTCTTACGCATGCTCAGTCGAACCTTTCTTGGCTGAAGTCCTGGGATGGGATTAGGGGGACACAAAGTTTAGATCAGAGTCAGAACCTCTTCCCAAAACTGGGGTTTCCCCGCTATATACTTCCAGCTCCTGCAGCCCTCTCTGAGGCACTGAACTATTTTAGGGCATTCAGGAGCTACCCTGGAGGAGTCTCTTTTCCTATGTCTGCAAGGCCCCAGAGAACAGGGTTTGGGGTTCATTAACTTTCATGTCTCCACCTCCGGTTTGGGGATTCTTCCTTGGGGATTGTTCGCCTTGCCCAAGGTCGAGGCTCCCTCTTCTGGGGGCTTGGGAGAATATCCTGCTGGAGCACATTGTCATTCTCCTCTTACAGGTGAAGAAATTGAGGCACAGTGTGGTTAGTGGGCACAACCAACGTCACCCACTCTTGTGTCCTGACAAATAACCCTGTCTTGGAGTGGGAACAAATTATCCAATCCTACCGTCACTCAGGTATAAACCACACTGCACACAACGAACTCCACAGCTAATGTGTTTCTGCAATCACACACCCAATCACTTTGTGCATCCTGAGACTCCCAGATGTATGTCTGATTGAATGCCCCCAGCACAGTATTACTGTTTCCAGTCATCAGCCAAGAAAGCTGAGGCTCAGAGAGGCTGAGGAGTATATTCCAGGTCACCCAGCATGAACCATAGAATTAGAATGCACACTCATATTGGTTGAACTCCAAAGCCTGTGCTTCCTGGGATGGAACCCAGGGCCTCACTCATGCTAGGTAAACTCTCTACCATGGAGCCCACTGAGCTGTCCCTCAGCCCAAGTGGGGCACCACACCTGAAGCAGCACTTTGAGGTCCTCCCTGACTAGAAAGTTGATGGGCTGGAGCAGCGGGTCCCACCTCTTCTGGGCTGTGAAGAATTGGGCAAGTTTCTTCAAAGCTTCCTTCCTAGCAGGAAGAATCTCAGCTCTGTGCAGAGCTGCTGTGGGGTTCACAGGAGAGAAGGGGGTACCCAGATATGGGTGCTGGGCCACACACACATCTGACTTTCTTTGGGTTCTAGAACCACCTGTAGCTTGGTGTGTTTTAGTCTTGGGCCAGACTCCCACAGGCTGCAGAACTTTGGATTTCCTACCCAGAATTCCATCCACCCTCCTGGCTTCTGTTTCTGCTTTACCCTGTCCTTGCCTGTGGAGCTGTCCCTTCACCTTTCCAAGTCTATTGGTCCTTGCAGACTCAGCTCAAGCCTCCTCCCAAGGGGCCTCCTGACTCCCTTAGCTACTGCTGGTCCCTCAGAAGCGCTCCTTGGCTTGCACACAGTTGGGGTCTTAGTTGGAATCCCCTGTCCCCACCTGCAAAATGCTTGGTTGTGCTTGGTCACAGGGACCCACCGCTACCTGCTGGCCAACAGGGACAGGATGAGGGACACTTACTTGGTACACGGAGACCCCTGCAGGGGTGCCTTCAAGCACCTCAGCCACAAAAGGCAGGTTCTGAAAAGTGGGGTCATTGTCATTGAGGTCTAAGAGGTTCACAAAGACTGTGGCACTGCTGGTGGCCTTCAGAGGGGGTCTGCCACCTGGAGGGACAGGGTGGGAGGGGCCGGGAAGACAGGTAGAGGGATATAAGAGGGAAAGGATGGAGAAAGGATGGTACATTCAGTATTCCTCCCATTCTTGGGGGTTCCTATGAGGAGACGCTTGGGCCCTGTGTCCCTTTCCAGTTCCTCCCCACCTCAGGGTGCCCTGGGGGGTGGGTCACACCTGGGATATAGGCATCATTTTACTCTTAGAGAGCCCTCCTGAGTGGACCCCAGGATCTCTGGAGACTGTCTCTAAGAACATCTCTAGGTCCCCCAAGGCTCAAGAACCACTGTCTGTGAGGGGATTTGGGAGTGGTGTGGGGGTCCTTACAGTCGGTGACAGAGATGATGATCTTGCGCATGAGTTCCGCTTCCACAGGGTCAGGGTTCTCACGGTCCAGCATGGCATGGGTGGTACGGATCTTGCCCGTGGTGCTGTTCAGACTGTAGAACTTATTGTGGGGATGGATGCTGTAAACCAGGGTGCCGTTCTCTCCCAGGTCTGGGTCTATAGCCACCACCTACCCAGGAAGGAACACTCTTACTGAGCTGGCCTGTTTGGGGTTACCTGAGCTACACCTTAGTTCCAGGCCCAGGCTCAGGCAGTGGGTTCTCTTGCCCAGCAGGGGCTCTGCTGGGGAACAGGAAATGGAAGGGTCACGAACTATGTTAGTGTTGAAGTCTGGGCTCCCTGACATCTTCATCCATTAGCTCTCTGACTTCAGGTAAGTCTCTTCCTTGTTCAAGCCTGGATGCCCCATATGTAAGAGTGGGGTGTGGGTGTGTGTGGCTGGAGATGTGGTTTGGTTGGTAGAGTGCTTGCCTAGCATGTATGCTGCCCTGGGTTCTATCCTTAGAGCCACATTGAGCATGGTGGCACATGTTCAATTCCCAGCACTTGGGAGTTAGAGATAGGAGGTTCAAGGCATGGGGGCTGGGAAGGCTGGGAAGCCTGTGCCTCCACTGGGCTTTGGGAAGGAATTGAGCCCTTGGTTGTGGAAACTGGGTCTTTCATCATCAGACACTCTTCTTTTTCTCTTTGGATTTTTTGGTCTTTTTGAGACATGGTCTCCCTGTAGCCCTGGCTGGCCTGGAGCTCACTGAGATTCGCCTGTCTTTGCCTCCTGAGTGTTGGGATTAAAGTAAAGGCATGTGCCACCACGCCTGGGTCTTTGGCATTTTCTGATGGTAGGGAAGTTGAAAAGAATTGGGACTTTGTGACAACAGGGTAGTGGGACTTGGCAGGGAGCCATCGGCTGGGCTTTAGTTTAGAGGGAAAAGCAGAGCCCAGAGAGGCATGGGTCACACTCAAGGTCACACAGTGCCAGCCTTGGGGTGACCCCACACCCTCTCTGGAGACTTCCCAGCTCTCAGCCCATCACCCCTCTGTGCTGCAGAAACCATGACTGTACCAGAGGAGGGCAGAATCATGGGGGGGTGGTGACTGCAATCCTCGGGGACATATCAGGACAGTATAACTCCAGGACACTGAGCAATGACAGCCAGGGCCAGGGAACACCTGTTTCACTTGGTGTTGGCCTTTATGCTCTGGCAGCCTAATCTGTCCCTCCTTGGCTTAATCCCTAGCCAAGGTGTCTCTGGGATCACTAGACCATAGCAGATAGATGGGCAGCCCTTGCCATGGGCTTTACTTGGGAGACAGAGAGAGACTTGCAGGGCTGGTTCCTTGCCAGTAACATCCTCCTCTGTATTGATGTCCCATACCAGACTGGCCTCACCCCATGTCCTCCCAGCTTTGCAGCAATAGAGGGGTGGGAAGGGGTCCCCACCTTCCTGGCCTTAATGCCCTCATTGTATTGTGGTCTTGCTGCCTGATATTCCCAGTTTCCATGATGGGGACCCGTCACCCCCTTTTACAAACAGGAGACAATTCATTCCAGGTTGCAGTCTCTCACTGAGGAAGCAAATGCCTCTTGCTTTTCTATGTGCTTCTGTACAGTTGACAGGAGGGAGAGATCTTTTTATTTTATTATTTTTATTTTATGTGTATGAGTGTTATGCCTGCATGTAGGTAAGTGCACCTGTGTTGTGCAATGCCCTCAGAGGACAGAAGAGGCTGTCGGATACCCTGGAACTGGAGTTACAGACAGTTGTTAGCTGCCATGGGGGTGCTGGGATTTGAACCCAGGTCTTCCGTAAGAACAGTCAGTGTTCTTAACTGCTGAGACATCTCTCAAGCCCCAAAAGATCTTTTTTTAACCCTGATTTTCTAGATGGGGAAAATGAGGCTCAGAGCAAAATGACCCATCCCAGGCCAACATGTAAGTGCAATTTCACAGTGAATGCAGGGCACCTTCCTTTAAGAGGAGACCCAGAAAGCTGTCCCATGCCCTGGTTGGGGTGGGCACCAGTCTTGACTCTCAGTCCCTCCCCAATCATGGGCTGGGGGGGGGCCTGGGAAAGGGCAGTGGCTGTGACCTGCCTCCCACTGGGGTAGGCTGCGGACTCTCACCACTTTTCCCTCATTTATTTCCCATTTCACGATCGTCATTTTTCTCCCTCCTGACGGGGAATAATTCTCTCGCTCTCCCTCTCCTTTATTTTGCTGGAGGGCTTTGAAAGGCTCTAAATCAATGTCCATCAGCGGGTCCTTGAAGGAGGCCGCAGGAGCAGCAGGGAGAGTCGGCTTGAGCTCACTGCGGGGAGAGAGAGGGACAAGAGAGACATCCAGTCTGCAGTGCACACCCGTCAGGCAGACGCTCTCAGGGTCTACATGCCCAGTGTGCCCATGCCCCAGAGAGGCAGGCACCACACCATTCAGAGGATGCTGAGTGAAGGAACACGGACACAGGCTGACCTGCCAGACTCTGGAGTATCCGTGGGTTCCATCACCCTGCAACTTTGGGTACCTGTGTTAGCGTGGCCCTTTGGAGGGTCCTGGGTCACCCACACACTGTCCTCCAGATGAGAGGCGGCAGCTTGGGTGTGTAGCTAGAGGCTGAATGTGATGGGGGCAAAGCTTACTGACTCAGGGACTGAAGAAGGCCTTAAACAGCAAGCATTTGGGAATGTTTTGCATAGCTACCACGTGCCTGATGCCACACCTCCACAGTGAGCAAGACCAATGGGACTGCAGAGGGAAAAACTGCTGATGGCGGCAGCGGCCACATGCCAGCACCTGTGGCACTTGGGCTCATCAAACTCTGACCACAGGGGCCTGGGGAGATGGCTCAGTGGGTAAAGCACTTGTCATGCAAGCCTGATGACCTGAGGTTGATCCCTAGAACCCAGTAAAACCTGGTAGAAATAGCACATCGTCTGGGAACCCAGCACTCCAACTAGAGATGGGAGGCAGAGACAGGTGTCTCTGGAATGTCCTGGGCCAGTTGGCCTGGAGTATGCAGTGAATGACCAGAGACCCTGTCCCAAACAAGGAGGCAAGGCCTGGCACCTGGGGTTGTCCTCCGACCTCCACACATATACCATGGCACATGCACACCAACACATACACGAACATACACATCATATACATACATATATACCGAGAGAGAGAGAGAGAGAGAGAGAGAGAGAGAGAGAGAGAGAGAGAGAGAGAGAGAGAGAGAGAGAGAGAGAGAGAGAGAGAGAGAGAGAGAGAGATCTGATCATAGCACTATCAAATGGAAACTCTTACTGGCCCCATTTTCTAGATGATGGGAATGGAACGCAGGGAAGTTTAGTATCTTGCCCTAAGTCACAGAGCTGGCAAATGGTGTAGCTGGAATTAGAACCCAGGCACTTTGGTACCAGAGGGCTGACTGCTTCTCCTGGAAGCTAGCTGTTTCTTCATAAGCAGGCAACTTAACAGATAAGTCTGGATTGTGGGACTATTTAGAAGGAAACTGTGGAGGGGGCAGAGACAGTGGGCATCTCTCGGAGGTGGCATTTTAATCTGGGGCAGATGGAGGAGACTGAACTGGCCATGGAGGGAGCAGAGGTGGGGAGGACAGGAAATGGGGTCTTGTGGTTTGATTGTGCCAGTGCTTAGATACGGAAGAGGTGAGTGCACAAGAAATAGAAAGGCCAGCATGTGTACATGGGTGTGTGTGCAGGCATGTGTGTATACCCATGTGTGCATGGGTATATGTGTACATATGTGTAAGTATGGTATGTACATGTGTGTATGCATGTGTGCATACGCATGTGGTAGGTACGGGAAGGTGAGTTAAGAGGCAGGCCAGCCCCACCCAATATTTCCTCTATATTGTTACCAGGCCCATGTTAACTGTTCCCTCCTGCAGCTACCTTTCCCACTGCCTAGCCACAGTCCTATCTCACCCTGAGCTGCAGGGAGGCCCTGGAGGCCCCCCTAAAGGTATAAAAGTGTATTAAAATGTATTCATAGGTGTATAGATATATGAATTTTTTACGTAGTATCATTTTTTAATTTTTTAAAATAAATAATATATTGAGAATTTCATACATGCATATAAGGTGTTTTGATCAAATCCATGCCCACTCCCTCCCCTCCAACTCCTCCCATATCTCCCCATCACTTTTTTCTGATAACTTCATGTACTCTTTCTTCTTCTTTGATTTATTTTTTTATGGGGCTTTGGCTACTCTAACATTTCTCCCTCTGAAGAGATAACCCTAAAATCTTTTAAGGATTAGATAAAAGCTCTCCTCGGGGCTGGAGAGATGGCTCAGTGGTTAAGAGCACTGCCTGCTCTCGCAGAGGACCCAGGTTCGAGTCCCAGCACCCACATGGCACCTACGAACCGTCCTTAACTCCAGTTCCAGGGGAATCTGAAGCCCTCTTCTGACCTCCACGGCATTGCATGACATGGATGCACTCACATACATGGAGGCAATACACATAAAATAAAGCTGGGCGTGGTGGTGCATGCCTGTAGTCCCAGCACTTGGGAGGCAGAGGCAGGTGGATCTCTGTGAGTTCAAGGCCAGCCTGGTCTACATAGTGAGTTCCAGGACAGCTGGGGCTACAGGGAGACCCTGTCTCAAAAAGACAAAAATAAATAAATAAAATATTAAAAAAATGTTGCTTAGATAAAAGCTCCCAAATATTTTTGACATTTTTGGCCTTTGAAACAGAGTATGTTGCTAAGAGGCCCAAGGACATTGTGAGTTTTAGCCAAGAAACTGGCTACTTTTCTTTGGGGTCTTTTTACCCTAATTGCCTAGCTAATTCCTACCTCCTATTCTTTTCACACCATCCTCTGAAGAGGTTACCTAAATTGCCAATAGGGAATCGGAACACAGACCACTCTGGCTTCTTCCATGCTGAACAGGGACACAGGATAGATGCTTTCTTCTTCTTCTTTTTTTTTTTTTTTGTCTTTTTGAGACAGGGTCTCCCTGTAGCCCTAGCTGGCCTGGATTCGCTATGGAGACCAGGCTGGCCTTGAACTCACAGAGATCTGCCTGCCTCTGTCTCCCAGGTGTTGGAATTAAAGGCGTGCACCACCACACCACCTAGAATAGATGCATTTTTATGACTATAAATTTAAATAATTTCTATGGCAATTCCTCTTGAATTTCCTACAACCAACTTGATTAATGTATAAACTTCTTGATTTCTTGTTTGTTGGCACTCATCATATACAGCTGGAGTTCTGCAGAGTTCTGGAACATTCTTAAGAATTCTAGAAAATTGAATCTAGAATTTTCCTTCCATGTAATGAAGTGCTCACAAAACTGACATTTCCTAATTACCAATGTTGCGTATTACATTTGGCAACTGCTTAATATAACGTTTTAAATTTTGGTTTGGTTTTGCTCTTTTCTTTTTGAGTTTGGGGCAATGAGAAGTTTGAGAGCTGTGGCCTGTGTCTGTCCTGTGCTGAGGAGGAAGGGCCATGGTCACGCTGGCTGGGGCATACATGTCTGTTTGCTCAAGGTAGTCATGGGCAGGTCCTGTGGGCTGTAGGGATGAGAGAGAGAGAGAGAGAGAGAGAGAGAGAGAGAGAGAGAGAGAGTGAGAGAGAGAGAGAGAGAGAGAGAGAGAGAGAGATATGTAGTATATGTGTACACACAGGTAGGTATGCAGGCATGTGGGGGGCATATGTAGTGTAGTATATGTGTATACACATAGGTAGGTATGCAGACATGTGTGGGGGTATGTGCAGTATAGTGTATGTGTGTACACATAGGTAGGTATGCAGGCATGTGTGTGTGGTGTGTATGTAGTGTAGTGTATGTGTGTATACATAGATAGGTATGCAGGCATGTGTGCTGGTGTGGAGGCCTGTGTGCACAGGCCAGAGGAGGATGTCAGTGTCCTGCTCTACCACTCTCTTCCTTATTTCTGTGAGATACAGTCTGTCACTGAACCTGGAGCTAGGCTGGCAGCCAGCAAGCCCCAGAGATCCTCTTGCCTCTGCCCCTCACAGTGTTGGGGTTACAGACAGGTGGGTGTGAGGTCACATCCATCATGGGTGCTGGGATCTGAACTCAGGCCATCATGATTACACAGCAAGTGCTCTTACCCACTGAGCCATGTCTCCAGCCTGACTCTGGCTTTTACATGGGGTAAGGATGAGAGCTGGTGATGGGTGTGGGCAGAAGGTGACGTAAGGCTCTTTGTGGGCAGGGCAAGGCTGTATCCCTTCCTGTACCTCACTGTGCAGAGCATGGACCTGGCACATAGCATGTGCTCACTAAAGGCTTCTGCAGTGGGCAGCAGGGCGCTGGCCCATCATCCACACTGACTCCTGGCTCAGAAGGTTATGAGCAGATGGAGGCCCAGAGAGGCCACTGTGGTCCAGAGCTCAACACACCCAAGGCCAAGTGTAGACCCCACCTGGCAAAACTTTTTGCCTGTCAGGTGGACTCTGATAAGGCACCCTGGCTGGTGGCCCGTGCAGCCAGTTCACCCTAGAGCTGCCTCCTCCACTTTCCTCTCAGCTCCCTTTGGAAAGAAGTGCCCAGAAACACAAGGCCAGACAGGGTTCTGAGGTGGGCATTCTGCTGCAACTCTTGGGGTCCATGGGAGGAGGTGGTCTTGAGCCAGCACCGGGGTGCCCACAAGGTGGCAGCAGAGAGTGCCTGCCAGACCCCAGCCCTAGGGGCGATGTAAGGGTCCTAGGTAGAGGTTTCTAAGGGTGGTCCTAGCTGGGTGTTAAAACCCATCTATTCCAGATCCTTTTCCCTGCCCTGCTGCCTCAGCTTCTCTGGGAGGGGACACTCAGGTCCTGAGCATGTGGAAGTCCCTTTTTGTCCTCCCTTCCAAGTTTCTATTCTCTCCATCTGGATCCAGATGGATCTTGTCACTAAAGGGAGTGGAGGGCTGGTGTTAGAACCCTAGGGTGCATGGATGTGGGTGAAGCAGGCTCCCAGAGCCTGAGGCGAATGCTTCTGACCCTGCGGAGTCCTCTATGATTCTCCAGTTCTTCAGGAGAGGGGCAAGGGCTGGGTCAGGTAGTTTCTAAGTCCTTGCCTCAAAGTTGACAGGCCTGAGTTCAAGTCCTGGCACCACCATTTACTAGCTCAGGGACCTTGAGCTCTGACGCAGTTTCCTCCAGAGGAAATAAGAGCAATGACTCCCGCTGCTAGGGGAGGGTGTTGTGAGGATGAGGATTTGTGAGGTGCCCCTGGGGTACAGCAGGACAGGTCTAGGTGTTCAAATGACAGGACTAATGAGTGCTGTCAGAGTTCATACCCACCATGGGGCTGTCTGGGTAGCAGTTAGCCAGGTATTTGGGGATCAGCCTTTCTAAATGAGGCCAAATGAGACTCAAGGGTGGGGGGGGCACTTACAAATGTGAATCTGAGAGCTGGGCAAAGCAAACAGGGTGCTAGGCCCTGCTTGTCCTCCTTAGCTGCTCCTGCAAGCTGGGTTTTATTTTGGGGCCTAGTGGCTTTGGCTATGTCTTCTCTCTCTGCCTCGACACAAGGATGTACACCTGACATCCTCTGTCAGTGAATCCCTGGGGGTAAGCTTCAACTTCTTTCTTGGACAGCTCAATGGGTCAAAACTGACCAGGCCAATGGCTGCAGTCACTCAGTGGTGAAGGATAAGGGCTGGTCCTGAATGAAACACGGAGCCCATAAGTCCCACATGGCAGGCCCAGGGGATCATGGTGGGAGTGCACCCACCCTGTGAAGGGCTGCCTGGCAGTGCTGGGTCTCTACCTACCGTGGTCACATCAGAGTCTGGAGGTGTCATCTCCACCAGGTTGATGTAGTAGGGGGCGTCCTTCCAGGTAGGATGGTTGTCATTGATGTCCAGGAGGGTGACATTCACCTGTGGGCCACAAAGGGTGCTGTGGGTCATGCAGATCCAGAAGGACAGGGCCAGGGACTCAGGAGCCTTAGCTCTGCCACTCTGGGTGCTTCAAGGAGGGCTTGGGTTGCCAAGGATAAGGTGGGGCTAGCTCCCTGGAGGAGAGGGCTGCGATGCTGTCCAGGAAGCAGTGAATGGATGAGGTTCTTCTTTATGCTATCCTCACCATGACCTGGGCTTTTCCCACCAATTGTGCCTCAGTGAAGGTGACCCACAGGTGGCAAGGTTGATGGGGGTGGGGGTCGGGGGAAACCCTTGAGCTTTCCAGTCTCCATTACAAGCCAAGCAATTTTTCTGCTCACCTGTCCCCAGGTAAATTATTTACAGGACTCCCATTAGTAGAGCCTTCCTTAACAGAAGCACATGGTGGGGTTTTCTGTCACAGTTCTAGATAACTGTGGTACTAACCCCAGCCACAAGCAGCTGCTAAGAGTGGGTGAGGACCATGAAGCAAGGTGAGGAACGTGGTCCCTGGGGAGCCCAAGGCAGGCATGGGGAAGAAGGGGGAGGAGGCTGGAGTGAGGGTCACAGCTTTCTCTCCCAGAAGTCCCTTCTACTTCCCGCACCCCCATTCCCTGTGCCGCCAGGAGCTCACCAGGGCTCCCCCTTCCTCCCTGCAACTCCCTCCTTCCTGAGGCTCCTCAAGGTAAGACCTAGATGGGGCTCTGGGTCTTCACTGTGGGCTCATGGTAGGAAAAGCAGGCATTGCCTCTCAGCCTTATGGGGGTTTGGATGGGGTGGTGAGCAGCCCCAGGGACCCTGCAGGGCTTCCTGTGCTGGTTGGCTCTTCCAGGCAGGAATTTTGGCTTCTACTTAAATGCCCCAGAGGGCAGGAGGGGCTTATGGTCCTCATGACCATCTGGGTTTTTAGGGTACAATGAAAGTGTTCACTGTGCCCTCCTGGCTAGCCTGTGTCCCTGGTGGCAAGGTCTTTCCTGTGGCTGCACTCAGCTGATGCCACACTACAGTGCTTTCCTCTGACTGGGTAACCAGAGGATGAGTGGGGAGCAGGGACCTGGTCAGCAGGGGTTGGGAAGCACTCACTGTGGCAATGCCAGTTTTCTGGTTGTGGCCCACACCCCCATCCACGGCACGCACGATGAGGATGTATTCGGACTTGGTCTCTCGGTCGAGCAGAGATGTGGTGGTGATTTCTCCTGTCAGACAAAGGGGTGGGTGAGTGGGAAGGTGGTGGAGAGGAGGAAGTGTGCTTAGGGATGTACTTGTAAGCTACAGTGATGGCCGCTGCAGTGATGGCTGGTGCAGTGGGCCCATTAGTGTGCTTGAGGGGGGAGGGCACTTATGCCTTGGAGGGGTCCCCACAGCTGGGCAAAGGACACCATAATGACAAGGTCTTTGCACATGTGGGGGATCTAGGCCAATGCTGGGACAGGAGCTGAACAGAGTAGGAGGGTTGTTTGGCCCCAAGCTGGGTTGTAAAGTGCCTATGGCTTAGACTTGGCATTATCTTGCTTTCTTTTTTAAAAAATATTTTATTTATTAATTGTATTTTATGTGTATTGCCTGCATGTAAGTGCACCCATATCATGCAATGCCTGTGGAGTTCAGAAGAAGGAGTCAGCTACTGTAGAACTGGAGTTACGGATGGTTGTTAGTGGCCATGTAGTGCTGGGAATCAAACTCAGGTCTCTGCAAGAGTAGCCAGCGCCTTTTACCACTGAGCCATCTCTCCAGCCCCTATCCTGCTTTCTTTAAAAGCTTGAACTAGTTCCTTCCATCCCCGTGCCTCAGTTTCCTCAGCTGCTCAAAAGGGAGCGATGACTGGACAGCTACATGGTAGGGCTATTGTGGGGGTAATTTAATTAATGTCATGGACACCTCAGAAGAGCCCCAGGCACTGTCTATTCATAAAGTCACAGGAGGTGATAAGGATATTCCCAGGCCAGTGTTCACACATGTCACAGCTTGTGGCTCAGGCTGGGCATCTGAGCCTAGAGTACACTGAGTTAAGAGTCATAAAATAATGTCCCAATTATCCCAGGAATGGTGTAATTATATTTCCTGGAAAATTTTTAGCATGTAAACAAGTTATTCTGTTAAATAGAAACATTTAAAATAAAAAATTTTTGCCAGCTGCATTTTGCCTTCATTTTTCAGGTGTCTCTAGAAAACCGATGTCACCTTGGTTATTTATTTTTATTTATTTATTTTTTTGGTGTCTATGTGTATGTATGCATGCCTGTGTGCATGTTTTTGTGTGTGTGAATGCAGTACTGGTCAGAGGACAACTTTGGGTATTGCACCTCAGAAGCTGTCCACCTTGTTTTTTGTAAAAATTTAATTTACTTATTTGACGAGGGCAAGCACATATGGTATGTGTAACCATGTCATGCAATATCTGCAGAGGCCAGAAGAGGGCGTCAGGTCCCCTGGAACTGGGGTCATGGATGGCTGTTAGCTGTTATATGGGTACTGGGAACCAAACCCAGGTCCCGTGGAAGAGCAGTCAGCACTCATAACTGCTGAGCCATCTCTCCAGGCCCTCCACCTTGTTTTTTGAGACAAGGTCTCTCACTAGGACCTGGAAGTCACTCATTAGGCCTGGCTGGCCAGCCAGTGATTCTCAAGGATCCATCTGCCTCTGCCTTCCCAGTGCTGGAATTCCAAGCACATGCCACCATGCCTGGCTTTTTTATGTGGGTTCTGGGAATTGAACTCGGGTCTCCATATTTGTGCCACAAGCGCTTTACCACCTGAGCTCTCTGTAGCTCACTTTGGTAGTCCTGTACTATAATAAGTGCTTGACAACTGGTTCTCCGAAAGGGGGGGGAAACAAAAAGGTCATTTGGTGATTTCAGTGGTATAAACACTCCCTACTAGGATGCATATCAAGTCACAAACTCCATGGCCTTGTTCATGGACTTCCTGGAACAGCTGTGAGCCAAGAGAAGCAGACCTGGGCACATGGCCACAGCTAATCCACATTCTGACCCACAGGGTTGCAGGGAAGGCCTCTACTTTGAGAACAAAGACCCAGATTTGAATTCTGACTACATTCTTCCCAGATGTGTGGTCTTGGGAAAGAGCCTGAACTTTTTTGATCCTCAGTTTTCTCATCTGCAAAATGGAACTCACTATGTCTTCTAATCAGAGTCATTGCAAAGATGAAGGATTGGGCTGGGGAGATGGCGCCGTCAGTGATGTGCCTGCTGTGCAAGTGTGAGGGCCTGAGTTCTGACCCCCAGCACCCAAGTTAAATCTGGGAACAAGAGCATGCATCTGTAACCCCAGAACTGGGGCTAAGTAGGGACTGAAGGGTCCCTGGAGCTTGGTGGTCAGTCAGGATGTTGAATCAAGAGTACATTGAGACCCTGTCTCAAAAATTTAACTGGAGAGCAATTGAGGAGGACGTCTGACATCAGCCTTTGGCTTTCACGTGCACACACACGTGCATAGAACTACACGAACATGTACATACATCACACACACATGGTAAAGGAACTACAGGCAAAGATCCTAACACTCAGAAAAGTTATCATTTCCCTCTGGTGGACTGAGAGAGATCCCCAAGGAGGGCAGGGACTGTGCGCTCTGCCTCTTTGTTTCCATTGCCTGAGCTGTGTGATTTGGGGAAAGTCACTTAACAGCTCTGTACTTGGTTCCTTCTATCATAAAACAAGGCACTGGGCCAGCTGCTCCTGAGACTCCCTCTACTTCGACATTTCTCTCCCTGACACATCCTGTCCTGGGTTGAGCAGAGAGTCAGGGTTTAAGGATAAGGCAACGGAGGTGTTAAGGTCAGGAACCACAGACTGGCTGAGCTCACACTCAACACTGGGTGTCGGGGGGTGTCAATTAACTAATTGGCAGGGCTCAGAAGAAATTAATCTGTAAAAGTTTTTTTAAACATGGATGGGTGTGGTGGAGCACACCTTTAATCCCAGCACTTGGGAGGCAGAGGCAGGCGGATCTCTGTGAGTTCAAGGCCAGAAGGAAAAAAGACATTCCAGGACAGCTGGGGCTACAGAGAGGCCCTGTCTCAAAAAGACCAAAAAAAAA